ATAAAGACTTTATAAAGCAGGGTTGATAAAGACAGTGAAGTATAACAGAAAATTATTTCGCTTCTTTCCCCCTTAAGTAAAAACCCTGAGAGAAGCTGTGCTGTGAAGCATGGGCTTTTGGATCACATACATAAGAGGGATGAGGGTTCTGTGAATATAAATTTTAGAAAATAAATAATAATAGAAGAGGAATAATGAAATTTGTGAATGGCATTAAGAGTTCACCAGTCAAAAACTACCTCCGCGTGGTAATTAACTTCTTGCTAAATTACCTCTGTCCTACCGATTAGCTTGTCTGCAGCAATAAGCTGTGTTTGCAGCTTGCTTTTGTGCAGGAAGCCAAAAAAAAAAAAAAACCAACAACACAGGAACCAAGAAAAGAACATACTACATCTGATAAAATGCCAAAAAAGGCTCTACAATGAAAATCACCCGACTACAGTCGCATGGGTGACAAAACATCAGACGTTAGTATTTTAGGATTAAGGACAGCCTGGTAATATCTCTAGACATAAAGGTTCTCCTCTGGAGCTGTGTAACAAAGACATGTCTAAGAAGGTTTGAAGGACCTATGCTCCCCATGCGTTTGCTGCAAAGTGGAATATGTCACATGTTGGCCCACGATCAGGCACACTCAGTCAAAGTGGAGTCAATCCACTCCTGTGATAAGACAGAGTAAGCTCGCAGCCTTTTATCCATTTTCTTTTAAAAACAAACCTTAATCTTGTGTCCATACTGAAAAAATAAGGATGAAAATAAAATGTTGTTCTTGTGAGCAATGGGTAAACTACAACTGAGGACAAAAGTATTAAATATAGTGTTGTTATACACAGCCTGCAGAGTGTAAAGTGAGGCATTAGAAAAAACAAAAAGTGCATCTATAAACAAATATTATGTTTTGCTGAAACAGTTAGCAAGCTTTTAGTCAGAGACGTCCTTCCCTCAATGGAAAAAAAAAATCAGCTGACCTTAAAAACAGTGACAAGGAAAGAGATATATTCTCTGAAAATATCCAATTTATATCTACCACTCAGACACATGTTAGTCAGAATCTATAGATAGCCTATCATCCGTCACCCTCGCTACACCAACAGACCATCTTAACAGGCTAAGAGAGTAACCTGAGAGACATGATAGGGAATTATAAAGCTAGTTTAATCTCCTGTTTAGCTGAAGTGGTTTAGTATCTGGGTACTGAAGGGTCTCTGCCTCCAGCCTTTTACTGTGAGATCTGGCTCATTTACAGGATGTTAGCAATACAGGATAGGTGAGGATGGGATTGGTGTTTGTGGATAATAGGGAGGGTCGCCATAGGGGTTTTGGTCAGAACTAAAAGAACGCCCAGATCAAATTACAGCTTTTCAAAGCTTTTGTGAGAACCATTTCTTTTGCAAAGAAGAAGAAGTTATTTGATACCAATACATCACTAGCACACGTAGTAATTCATACATAATCCATCTCTTGCGTGCAGTTACTGAGTGCAGGTGTTTCTGCATGATGGCTTAATTTATGCACAATGTTATCCTTCGAGCTTAAGAAAACCAACAACAGAGGGAGCACATTTTCTGTAGCCACCTCTCATTACCTTGAACTGAGCTTGCAATTGTAATATCTCATCAATGTCTCCAGCGTTTGGAGAATGTTTATTCAAGCCATCACATTGTGGTGTCTGGTTTGTCACCTCTGCAGCTTAAATATCCTACAGCGATTACTGATGCTACTGATGTGAATGTGAAGGGACAGGATGTGTGCTGATGCTTGTAAAAGATACTGCGTATTAACTTATCACCAAGCCACAAAACACTTAAAAATCCTGTTTTTGAAACAAGCAAACGAAGACGTCTAAACATGTAAATACAAAATTTCTCGTTTTCCGCAAAAACTCAGCTGTTTAACAAAAATGTTAATGTAAACATGTTTGCTTCTTTCGCTTGCGAAGCGGGTCTGAAGCGCTGAAAATGTAAACTTGGTGCCAGTAAAGTTCAATTTTAGAGCTTTTCAGCCAGGTAGCTAACATCTGTGTTAGCTCACTTCTGTAATGTTGGGGCAACACGAAGCACACAAACAGAGGCTTCAATGACACAACTTTAGCTCCCTGCGGTGACACCCGTGTAGTGAAAAATATCTGTCCACGTTTTGTTTAAAACAGTAATTTTGCTGTTAGTGTCCTCCAAGTTTAGCTAGCTTAACCAGCTAGCTCTCTTACCTTTTGTGGGAGACCAGCGTAGCAAAGCAGGGCTAAAATGCACCACACCAGGGCCCGACTGCTCACTGTCCAGTCCATATTCTCTGGTCTCAAACCGGGATAGACAGCTGGGGAGGTCCGAGCGGCCGCAGACTACATAGAAACCGCTTTCTGGTTCGCAGACAGGTGTTATAAATAGTTTTGTAAATGTTGATACGTTAAAGGCATCGAGCCAGCCGCACTGGATGCGACGTTAAATGTGCTTCTTCCTGAAATGAAAACCGTGGGGGTTGGACTTTGGGATAGATATCCACACGAGTGGAGGAGGGGAAATGTCGAGAGTCTGTGAGCCAATGAGAAAAGCGATACGGACACCGGATGTGGTATAAAATAGATCCGGGGGACATTTTCTACAGCGGTCTGCGAAGAGTGTGGGAAGCATGCTTTTCAGCGTTGGGCAAGCGAACTGCGGCATGGTCGTGTTTAATTTGGCTATGAAATTTTATTCATGTATATGTTGTAGTTATTATTATTGCAGCTGACTGCCAGTGCATATATGATGGGGAGGTGTAAAGTTAGAGCACTGAACGCAATGACTGCGCGTTTGAGCAGCGGGACTTGACTAGGCCGCATGAGCAAAGAAAACGAAGGTAAGAACTTATTTTAAAAAAAAAAAAAACTAAATAAAAATACAACCCGCTTGAGCTCCCATCTGTAACCAGGTATTTTGGTCTCTTTGTGAAATAGGATGGTGATTGCTCTAGTGGATGTTTTCTGCACTTCACCACGTGGACAGGGTGGTGTCATACAGTCTCGTGGAGGACGGCCAGCAGCGAGGTATGAAGTCAGAAATATGAAGTACAGAAAATGTGTTTTCCCTTTGGTTCATGGATGATGAGTTTTCGTGCGTTAGACTTCTGATCTGAAAATGAAGTCAGAATTGAAATCTGAGTTGAGTCATTAACACAGGTCAGGATTTGTAATCAATCAATCACATGCACTTAAGCTTTTTTTTCTTTTCTTTTTTTTAAATCATTTTCTGCACAGGGGCCTTCAGTGTGAATGGATGTTCAGGATAATGACACAGTAAGTAATTTGAGTGTAATCCAAAATGATTGTAACTGATAAGTCTTCTGATAAATTTGAAGACATTATTGATCTGCCCCCCTCAAAGATCTTTATAAACAGCTTGTTAACAACTGAGCTTATTTGTTTTCTTCTTCAGGGACCAGCCTATGATGCTCAAGAAGTGGACCCAGGCTTGAAGTTGCAGTGTCTCAGATAAACATGTTTTTTTTGGGGGGTTTTTTTTCCATCTTTGTTTTGATTTTATTTGTACTATTTGTATTTGTTCTATTTTTATTGTATATATTAATCGACATCTGCGGGTGGACAGCAAAGAAAGAATTTCATTGCACAGAGAAATGCCTTTTCTCTTGTGACGCATGACAATAAACACTTTGAATCTTGACTCTTTAAAAAGAATAAGGCATTTTTCCACAAACCAACAGCGTTGTTTTTGTTATTTTAACTTATTTCTGGGCACTCCTCTGAACCTGGCTGGCCTCTTCCGTGGCCACTCAAAGGTGGAGAGCAGTGCAAGATCAAGTCATGTCTTGTCATAACTGGGGTTTCTTGGCTTTTATTTCACCAAGTCTCTCTTTTAAAGCAAGACACAGACTCGAGATGAAGTTCAGGTATAGTGTTCTCAAAGTGCGGAAGCTGCCCACGTGACGGAGTTTAACATCCATCTGTGGTGTCAGCACATCTGTTAGCATTAACACTTAATTTGACACCACAAGTCAGATGTTTAAAAAGAAAAAAATGCAGCCGGTTAAATACTGAATTTTTTTGTCAAGCGAATGTACATCCACACACATACTATTTTTAGATTGTGAACTGTTGTCTTTCATACTTCACGTCCTTGATTCCTCTTCCCCCAGACGAGAGCAGATGGGGCTAGGAAAAACTGGTTAACAAAAATAAGATGCCACTTATGACATGGGACAGCGGCATCATCTCATAAGTAGCTGTTATAGCCACTATATTTATAATTGGAAATGATAAAGTTCATTTGTTGAATATCTTCAAGTCCAACTCAGCAGGCTTCATATCATCCAGTGATGTGCCACCACTACTTCACGTGTATAAACACTTCCACGAATGACACCTGTGCAACGTCTCTACCCACAGATTTGTTTCGGGAGTTGAGACAACTCTCAGCAGATCAAACTATCAGTTTCCAGGTCACGAGTGGGAACACAGAGACCAGTCCAGCCTTGCATTGTCTAATTTTGTGGGTTGTAGCCTGTGGATTGTGCTTAGCTAACATGAGTGGCACCCTGTGTGGTCTTCTGCTGCAGTAGCCCATCTGCTTCAAGGTTTGTTTGGTGTGTAATTAGAGGGTGCTCTTCTGCATACTTTAGTCATAACAAGTGGTTATTTGAGTACTGTTGCCTTCCAATCAGCTCAAGCATTCTTCCCGCCCTCCTCTCACATCAGTAAAGCGTTTTTCACTGAATAGTTTCTCCTTTGGAACATTCCCTGTTACATTAATAGATGATTGTGCAGGAAAATCCCAGTAGATACCAGCCCATCTGGCATCAACAACCATGCCAAGTCAGTTAAAACACCTTTCTTCTCCATTCTGGTGTATCTCATCTTGATACGCCTCAACTCACTGAGTTGGCGCCTTGTGATTGAACAGGCGTACCTTATGAAGCGAAACAGCATATAAATGCATGTCTTCTGATGAGAATCTGGCTCCGGCTTCTCATTCCTCATCTCTTCTGTCAGAACATCAAATCCATACGTATTCTTTCCGAGCAAAAAGATTTTATTGATCCACAATGATCAGAAACGTAACATTCTGCAACATCACTGAACACAACAGCAATGTTTGATATTGTCATCACTTGTGCAAATAAACAACACCGAGACGTGAAAAACCAAAATGGGCATGTCTTAACAGACACAGTAATGGCACAAAGACTTTTTTTCCTCTTTTCCTATTCTCAACTGATGCAAGAAACACGGCGGCTCACTATGGAGGAATGTTTAATTTACTTTAAAGGCACTTTCTGCCTCATACACTTGCCAACACACATGTCTGGACATATAAAGTAAAAGTCACCTGTAAAGCAGGGCGTCTTGGCAGATTACAAAGATCCTGTAGTTCTAGTGTATGTCATGTTTTTCTTTAATGTGTACAACAGTAGACAGCATTTAAAAAAAGGAAATCAATAAATAATTCAACAGAAACGGAGCATTCATTAGCTGGATGTCTGCTGAGAGCATTAAATAATATGGCTAATATCCAGTATGTTATTGATTTAAAATAAAACAGCAAGAGTGGATGTCCCAGCTCTTTAAACTACACATTTCTGAGTTTATATGTTTCCATTTAAACTAAAAGTGTTTCAGTCTCCTGCTCATTAAAATCACTCCCTGCAGATTATTTTTCTCCGTCTTCTGAATTTCTGTTTACCTCATACACAACCCTCTGCTTTCTTTCTTTAAACCACACTGAAAGATTGCTTTGGCAATAAAAAATAGAAAATTATTACTTTTTGTCGACTCTGAACATAACACGAAAAGAGCGCTTGAAACATGTTGCTTAGAAGCACGTTTTCAGTGAATGAGCTATTCCATTGCACAGCTAAAGAGCTGCATTCCTATGTATACATTCAATAGACCTAGGCAATGTTTTGCTGCTGCGTTTGCAGATGTACTTCAATTCACACGACTCCTCTGTAAGTCCTATGACACAGGTAAAAAGCATAATGACAGTCCTTTATTCTAAACAGGCCCGGTGTCTTATAGACGCAGAGCCGTTGATTGGTTTGCATATAGGTGCCAGGCAGCCGGCACAGGCAGCAGTGTGAGTGGTTGATAAATGTGTCTCGACATCCCTGTGAAACATGTAATCACAGATGCTGGGGTTTTCGGCGAAATCGCCTGCGAATTTAAAGGAATATTCTGTCAGGTGTTTGCTCGCTCAGATATACACAATCTTCGTTTAGTGGCCTCAGGAGTTCTCAAAGAGTTATAGTAACAATAAACCAGTCAATTAGAAACGTCACATAAAAGGTTTACACTGTACAACTATCACGTTTGGGGCAGCTGTACATCACAGGTATTATGGTTCCTCTGGTTGGATCGGATGGCTATTTGTCAATCCACCATGACACACACACACACACACACACACACACACATACACACGCACTTTAACCATGTCCCCCAAAAAAGTAATTTCATCAGAGTGAATCATAATATTTGATGTCACACTAAAACTGTGTGAATGATCGGCAGTCTGTGAGTCACTGTTCTCTTCTGTTTGCTTTTAGTAGCCAGATATGAGTAGATTTCAGATCGTTTTGAAGCACAGCCTTCATGGAGCGGTGCAACAGCAGGACTGGAGTACTGGTAAAAATACCAGGGAGCCAACCGAGCCCACTGCTGGAGCTGTGATCTCTGAGACGGGGCGGGGACATGGCGATAAAAAGCTTGTCACTGAACACCTCGAGCAGCGTGCCTTCACATGTCAGAGACATCAGATTCGGGTTCTGGATCCTTCAAGGCATCATTTGTCACAGTAAACAAGTTGGCATTTGAACGCGTATCCATGGCAGAGTGCATTATGGGTAGCCACACATCATCCATGTTTGGCATCACAAATATTTTCTGTGAAATGATGAAAAAAAAACAAAAAAAAAAACAAGGATTAGCAATAAATATGGTGGAGGACAGTGAAGCATGTTTACTCGAAAACCACTGTGAGAGACTATTAGAGGAACAGAACCTATAAATTCTAGTTTTGTCATCAAAAACATACAAAATGAAAACAAAAATAAAGTTTCAAACTATCTCTTTTAACAAGAAAGCAACAAAGCAACCCTGTATTGTTATGTCTGAAACCCAATAAAGCCTGAGTCCAGCGTTTGTTGAAAGCCAGATGTAAACACTTGCTCACAAATGACAACAGTGTGCACCGCAGCGCTATATTTTACTAGAAGCATTGTGGAGGGGGCCAAAACGTAATTACAGCCCCTGAGGAGGAGGCAGAGATAAATGTTGATGTGTGGTAAACCTGACAGGGACAATTTGCTGCGGTAGTTTGCAGAGGTGCTCTTTGTCCTTGGTGAGTAAACTTTGAGCTTCTCGGCCATGCCAATGGTAGACTTTCAAACATCAGTTGATAAATACCACAGGATATGACATCATGCACTAAATGCACCCATGTTTACAAAAAAGGTTAGGGTGCTGTGTTAAACGTAAAAACAGATTTCAGTGATTTGGAGGTTATTTTTTAACTATATTCAATTGAAAATAGCACAATGTATTAACAACATATTGGATTTAAACCTACTGGTTAAAACTTTCTGTTTGGATCTACATGTTCCTCCTATGCACACATGGGTGGTAATTCTAAATAGGCCAAAGGTATTTTACATAAAGAACATTGGTTTAAGGCCAACTCCAGGCCTCGAGGGCCGGTGTCCTGCAAGTTTTAGATCTCACCCTGGGTCTACACACTTGAATCAAATGATTAGTTCATTACCAGGCCTCTGGAGAACCTCAAGACATGTTGAGGAGGTCATTTATCCATTCAAATCAGCTGTGATGGATCAAGGACACATCTAAAACCTGCAGGAAACCGAGCCTCGAGGCCTGGGTTTGGACACCACTGATTTAAGGTGTATTCGGATGTGCTAAATACTTAAAATCCATTGTTCAGTTCCAAACAGAGTGTCAAATTCAAACTGAACACTCACCAGCCACTTCATTACACCGTGCTAGTACTAAGTTGGACCCGGTTTTTACCTTCAGAGCTAACTTAATTCATGGCACAGAATCAATAAGGTGCTGGAAACATTCCTCAGAGACTTTGGTCCATATTGACATCACAGCATCACACAGTTGCTTCAGATTTATCGGCTGCACATCAATGATGAGAATCTCCCATTCCAACATTTCCAAAAGGTTCCCTATTAAACTGAGATCTGGTGACTCTGGAGGCCATTTGAACATGGTCACTGTGTGTTCAAGAACACAGTTTTAAGATGATTTGAGCTTTGTGGCATGGTGCGTTAACATGGTGGAAACAGCCATCAGAAGATGGGTCCACTGTGGTAACAAAGGGGTGGATGTGGTCAGCAACTAGAACCAGAACTAGCCCAAAGTCCGCAAACCTGAATCATTAATACAACACAAGACAGATCCATGTCAAATTCTGATTCTAATGATCATTGCAACAGATATCAAGAATCGTCAGACCAGGTAACATTTTTCCAATCTTCTGTTGTCAAATCTTTCAAATTGTAGCCTCAGTTTGCTGTTCTTATCTGACCACACTGGCACCCAGGGTGGTCTTCTGCTGCTGTAGTCCATCTGTATGTAGAGATGCCTTTCTGCATATCTTGGGTGCAATGAGTGCTTATTTGAGGTACTCTTGCCCTTAAAACAGTCTAGCCATTCTCTTCTGACCTTTTACATTGGCAAGGCATTTTCACCCACACAACTGCTGCTCACTGAATATTTTTCTTTCTTTTCTGACCATTCTCTGTAAACCATAGAGACGGCTGTGTGGGGAAATCCCAGTAGATCAGCAGTTTCTGAAATATTCAGACCAGCCCGTCTGGCATCAACTACTATACCACATTCAAAGTCACTTACGTCACCTTCCTTCCCCATTCTGATGCTCAGTTTGAACTTCATCAAGTTGTCTTAACCATGCCTACATGTCTTAATGTATTTGCGTTTTGCCATGTGATTGGCTGATTAGATATCTGCAATAATGAACAGTTCAGCGGGTATAGTAAATGAAGTGACCAGCGAGTGTAAATTTAAAACCATGCAATTCCTCGTTTTTAACAATTGAACTTGCAAATGGACAATAAGTAGACTTTATTATGACTTAAGATTAGATTTCACCGGTGCTTATTTCTCCCAGTGTATACCTGGAACTCCTGATCCAGTTTCTTCTCAATCCACTCTGTTACATGCACCAGCGTCACCTCCCTTTCACCGAGTTTGGGCCGTGCTTTGAGCTCCAGGTGAGGCGGACTCCGAAAACCATACCTGACAGCCAAAAAGAGAAGTTTGTGATAATCGTGTTGAATTTTCAGACCAGCTTCATGAAACAGATGTCGATTGATGGGTTTTTCCTTAAATGACTGCTTCATTTCAATAAAAAAAAAAAAAAATACATATTAGCAGTATTTAAGGAGGAAAAGGGCAAAAACATGGAGGAAAACATGCAAAACATATATAGCATGCAACAGAAACTGATTTTTCTATATGTTGTTTTAATTATATTTTTCTTAGCACCTATTTAGTGGCGCAAATAAAGAAGTTCGTATTAATTAAGCCAAACATAAATCAGTGTGTATTTAAGGCTTCAATGTTCCACATCTTTAATGGAAAACACACCTTTGTGCCCTCATTTCTTAGATGTGATTAAACATTTTTATTCTCTCATCACTTGCTTGTGTTGTTTTTTTTGCCCAGCAGAGGGTGCAGTGCTATAACCTCAAACCATTCACATAGATTGTGACATACCAACTCCATCCTGCAATTTTCCACATCCTCCTAAACATACCATATCCTGTCTGTGGGGGGAGGTGGGATGTTGACAGCCAGAGTCCCGCGGCACTCTTGCACCTCTACGGTGAGCAACAAGGGCGTGTTGGATACTTCCTCCATCTTCTTCTTGATGAACTCCGTCTCTGTGGCTTTCTGGAAGTACTTCGACTTGGCTATCTTGTCCACAAAGCGCATGATCTTGCTGGGTCTGTGGCCTCCCACATAACTACGCGAGTCGATGATGGAAACAGAGGAGGAGGGGAGACAAGGAGTGAGTCAGGTTCATAATTAATTCATAACGGCATCTCTTGCTACTCAGCACCCACTATCGAGGGGCTATGTGTGCAAGTGACCGGGTGCTACATTAAATCATCAGCGAGCTTTCAAATATGTATGTCTGAGTGGGTGGCTGGTTGGATAGAAAAAGGAAAAATGTTCTGTTTCAGAACCTCAGTACGAATGTTATTCTGCTCATTTTCAATTCGGAGGTGCACTAATGTTGTTAGAAAGAGACATTTGCTCACCCCTCTGCTCCAGGCAGAACAGGTTTGTCACTGAGGAGTTCTGGAGGATCCTCCTCGTCCGATGAACCGGCACTAGACGATTCCTCGTCACTGTCTGCCAGACAGTATGTCCGTGGCCTTGACCTGTCACGCACACGTAAACAAGCACTCATGTTGCAAAGTCAGGCCCCAGTGGCTTTGCAAAGAGCCCTTATCAATCACTATTAATTCCCATTAAATGTATCCCAGGAACTACTTCTCCACCGATCTCACTCAAAAAAAGATCCAATAACCCAAATGGGCAACAAAATGTATTGTTTCAGGGACAGCGACTGTAGGCATCCAATTCCCAAACTCGCCAGTTTACTGTACACATGTCCACAGCGGTAAGCATCCACGGGAAGGATTAGTATATAAAGAGAAGGAGGGAAAAGGCAACACGACAAAAGGGGAGGAACTGTGAAAAACGCATGTGACAACTAATATGGCTCTAAAAATGCAAATGCACCCGATTACCATCCGACTCAGAGCTGGTTTTCTTTAGCAGAAAATCGAATCCTTCACACATTTTATTTTGGCACTGTCACTGAGAATGAGACAATAAGAAGAAAAACAAACACGGAGGAATCAGGACAAGCTGTGGAGGACGACTCTAAAATCTGGAAGCCTTCTTAAAAACAAAATAAAATCAGACCGAGCTTCACTTAGCTTCATTATTCTGCTTAAAAGAAGACATGCACTTTTAAAGCCTCACCAATCTTTCCCATGTTCTCCAAGGCCCTCGCCCTCCTTTCCCAAACGGGCCAAGTTCATCTTGGTCTCCAGCGTCATGAGGAAAGAGCCCGTGTAGGAGACCTCCAGATCAAACCACAAACCTGAGAAAGAAAACATAAAGACTTATGATGTTTTTTATACCGAACCCATGCCTGCTGACATCCTCGTCAATAGCATAAGGAAAATCAATAACAACCTAATGATTTGTGTTTAATTGTTGCAAGGTTAAATCTAGTGCTCATCTACCTAAAAAAAAAAAAGGTCACCTATCAGGAAGCAGTTCTTTATTAAGCTACTTCCTGTTTACACGTCCCACTCCTCAGCGGGCGGCAGGAGAATTATTCAGATTACGATCCCCCTGCTGTTTGCACAGCGAACGTCTGCAGCCGGTAACTGACGTTTATTATCCCCTCTGTCTGCCCCCCTCCCTTCTCTTCACTTTCCCTCTCCCTGTAAATGCTCATTGATTCGTACAGTCTGTGTGACAGCAGTGCCAGAGAGAAGCTACATGACAGCAGCAAGACACATCATGGAAGACAGTGTCTCATTGTCTAGCACGAGACAAACAGCAGGAAGAGACCGTCTGGATTTTCTCATTAAATTTGAAGGAGCCAACACATCTCTACCACAGACAGATGTAGAACCGGGAAACATATCACAGCAATCGTGCATTAGATATTCCTTTAAATCGCTCTCATTGTCATACATATAGTGTGGTGAATTTGCCTCCACATTAATAATTTCCATTTGTGCAGCATGTGCATGACCAAGCAATTGCAAAAGTGACGCTTCAGCCCGACTCTCCTCTGAGCTAATTATGAAATGTCTGCATGCTAAGATGGTTAAAATGGTTCTGTGCATACACTAACGTCAAGAATGTTATACCCACTTGTTTCTTATAAGCCTCTAGCTCATTTTCACATCTTTGCACAACTGACAAACATCAGTTTGTGTGTATTGTGCGGTTATCGAAGCACAGTGTAAACATTGTCAATCAAGCCATGTCTCCCCATAAATAAGGCATTGAGAAGCTGCCTTTCCCTCAATTTTACCATCATCACACAAGAGAAGAAATCACAAGCGTGTTCAGTTCATGCAGGATGAAAGCGCACATTTCATCATCGGCTAATGATGCTTTGTTAGTATATATCTGAGGATGTATAGGTTCAGACACATTTGTGAGCTCTGCAGACACCCTGCTCCAACAACTGAACAACAAGAATCTTTAGACCTAAGATCAAGAAAAACTGAATGCTCTTAATCTGGAATTGATAAACAAAAATTTTAACACGGCGGCTCCTCATGACATTTACATTCACTGGACACTTTATGAGGTACACCTTACTAGTTGGACCCCCTTTTGCCTTCAGAAGGGTCTTAATTCTTCATGAGACAGATTCGAAAAGGTGCTGGAAAGATTTCTCACAGATTTTGGTTTCAAAGGTGCTCCAGAGATCTTGAGCTCTGGTGACTGTGGAGGCCATTTGAATCCAGTGAAGTCTTCAGCATTCGACATTTTTCTTCTGTTGTCCAATTTCGGTGAGCTCATGTCAATTATAGCCTTAGCTTCAGCAGGTCATCTTGACCATGTCTGCATGCTTAAATGTACTAAGTTGCTGCCATGTCATTGGCTAATGACGCATTCGACCAGTTGAACAATACCTAACAAAATGGCTAGCAAGTGTATAATCATCATATTTTAAGAAATGACAAATTAAAAAAAAAAACAAAAAAAAAAAACCCCACCCCAAATGACTGAAGCTTTTGACAATCTCTTTTTTTGCCTTAAACCAGCTGGAATTAATACACATCTCTGCTCTGTTTCTGTGTCAAACTAGTCCCTTTGCTCAGGCTTAAAGCAGGCTGGGTGAGTCAGTGTTTCAGTAATGGATGAGGGGGAGCCAAGACATGAGGTTTAATTACTGTGGCTTAATAGAGCAAACATGCAGAAAGGCTAGACTCCAGAGGTGAGAAGGACAGAGTGTTGGAGGGTAGGGGGTTATGGCTTAATCTAGCGAGAAGAGGAATAAGATGGAGATATGGTATGAAAGGTGAAGAAGACGGGTTGGGGAAAACACAGAATTAATAAGTGGCTCGAGTAAGATAAAAATAAGAAATCTTGAAAGCACCCACAAAAATGTAAAAAAAAAAAAATAACACACCTAATGTAATTTTCTTCCTACCTTGGTGGTCCACTGAAGGTTTGGAGGCACGGAGGATCTTAGGAATGGAGAAGCCCATGTCTAGCTCTGTCAGAGTCAGCTCATTCATAACATATGGCAGCTAAAAGAAAACATGTACGGAAAAAGATACAAATACAGCCAACGCAAAGACAAATCTCTATCTCTTGAAGAAATCTTCTTGCATTTGGATATTACTAACTGTAGCTACTACTACTCACCCTGATCTTACTGAGCTTCATTTGGATCTTTTTGGAGACTACATTGGCCCAATATTTCTCTCCCAGGAAGTCCCAGAATATCCTTCCCAGAAATGCATTTACCCAGGCCTCAGGCTCCGCAGTCTCCTCTGAACTCCTACGCAGCTAAAGGACACACATACATGTATGAATGGCAGTTTTGAATATCTATAATCATTTTGTGCATCAAGCTTGAGCTTGATATATTGAGTTTGCTCCCAGCAACCCTTCAGTAAGATTCACTGAGTTGCCAGTGGTTCGGAGCTCTCTGGGGTAACTTCAGGTGACAACAGACTGATTTAGTTGATATTGTGGTTTAGACGTGCAGACCCCAGGGGGGGCTTTTGATAGATGCCCACTTTGGATGACAATCTTTTTCTATTCAGCCTGACATGCATCCATCTGTCTCCTACCTTTTTGGTAGTCTGGGGGCTGCTATCCGGGCTGTTCCCAGCGCTGTCAGTGGCAGTCGGGCTTCTAGGCGGCACCTGGGGACTCACGTATTTGGCCATGTAGACATTATAGTCCAACAGCATCTTCTGCTTCAAGCCTGCAGTAGAGCCACAGGAGAGAGCGGCGGTGGTCTCTCTGTGACGAGACTGAGACTGAGACAGCTCCTCCAGGCTTCCCCGGCTGCTGCTCCTGCTGTCAGCCTCCAGGCCTCCGACAGATTGAAAGCTGCTACTGCGACTGTGGGAGGGTAAGAAGGCTACAAATGGAAGGAAGGAAATGTGGGATGTGAAGGGGGTGTTTTGACACAATTATGCTAGAACACGGAACATTTTTAGTGATTCCAGATTTGTATACAATAATAATAAATGCTCAAAATTTAATTAGCCTTAGATAGCTGTCAGCTATTTTTGTATTCCTTTCTCACAGTAGACTGCAGCACTCTGAATTAGCATGCTGTACACTGCTTTCCAGTAATCCAGCCCTACCTTTACTACCTTTATCTCCTGACCCACACAATTTTGGCATTTCTCTTTGTATAAGGCCTCCTCCGCACAGGCTTACATCCCACTGTGGAAAGTGATGCTATAATACGCTGATGCTCTGTGCTTGTAATCCTGCTGACCCACCACACTCATCGGTTCACTTAGTTGAGGGGATTGGCAGTCCCTAAGCTGGGGCTTATGCACAGATCTGATTGCTGCGCAGTTGCCTACTTAATAGAACGGCTATTCTGACATCGAGGAATGGCGCGTGTCTGTGCAAATACAGGTGTGTAAAAAAAAGAAAGGAAGAAAGAACATGGATAACAAATGCTTTACGTGTGTGTGTGTTTGCACCTTGAGAGAGTGTGAAGCTCACCATTCTTGCAGATGCTAGGCAGACTGCCACCTCTTCCCTCTGATTTCATTCGGGATGCTAGAAGAAATCTACGGAACCACTCTTCCTTTTCCCGACCCGTCCTCCCGAAAAGGTAGATAGTCAAATCCCCGCCTCCAAAGGTTGGTTTTTTGGGTTCCTCTGCTGACGCCGATCCTTCTGCCTTCTCACCCTTGTCCGTTTTCTCCACCTTCTCACTCTGAACTGTCGATTTTTCTTCCCCAGCTTCAGGCCTCTCTCCCTGGGCCTTGGACATGAAGTCATCCTGCTTGGCCAGCTCAATGCAAATGGGGTATTTCTTGTTCCAAACTCTCTTCCTAGCCAGGCTCTGAGGCATCAGGTATATCTGTGGGGTATAAAGACTGACTTCACTAAATCAATCTCATGAACACGAGTGCTTTCTTTATTGGTGTTTCTAGGGCTACAGAATGATTATAAAGAAAAGAAGATAAAGAGAAAAAGTGTTCACATTTTTATGCGGCAGATTGATACCTGAGGGTATGAGTGGAAACAACTGGTGGCAATAAATGTAAGAATATGCCTGTTTTCTGTTGATAAGTAACCAAGATTTGGCACCATTCAGGGCTGGAAAGGTTCATGTACTTCTGCTTTTGTTCTTGCTATAGGCCAACAATTCTCTGATACATACAGCAGCACTTCATTCATCCCTGTGGTTGTAATGGGTTGGAGCGGTATTGGATCTCAGATTAAAACAATAACACCATGAGCAGAAATTGGACCTTCAGGGATGCTTTTCCTGTACGAGTGTCTGAATAAACTACACACTAAGTATCTACAATAATAACTGAGAAAGGGCACTTTAGGAAACCAGAGAAGAAGAGTAGGTTAAGGGTGCATGATGAAACCTTTTGCTCTGTGATACACTGACATGAGAAATGTCAGCTGTGCCTTGAGATATGCAAAACTGTTGAATCAGCGCGCTAGTACACAAGATACACAACTGTGTATATAAGGTCAGTGACCTGTGATATTCACTCTACGTTTACACACAGTCTACGAGTCACAAGCTGTGATTGTCACTGAGCATGACCTATTAGCGAGCATGCAGTCGGGCAAAGGCAAATGTGACGGGACGTGTGCTCGATGTCACTAAATGTTAAGCTTATCATCAAGCACAGTAACACACTGAGGAGACGCGCACACACACTTAACACATTAATTTCCCCCTCGTCTTTGAGTGGTGTTAGCAAAAATCTCTCTTTCCATGACCAAAAGGTTTGTTTAAGCCACCGCACCTTGCTGTCAGTCAGGTCGTAGATCTTCTGGCTGATGTAAGTGACGTCAGGTTTAGGCTCATTGTGTGTGGCACGACGGGAGATGTTCCGGTTGGGCTTGGACAGACGCAGGACTGAGCCCTCTAGACGGACGTAAACGGAGTGGGTCAGGGTGGCGTGGTACGTCTCCGGGTCATAGCTGTGGATCTCATTCATCCAGCCCTGCGAGAGAGAAGCAGAAGACTTTTCAGCTACAAAGAAGTAAAACTCAAGTCACCTCTCAAGACTTTTGCACAGTCTTTTATACACACATCAGATTTTCAGTTTAAAACCAGAGAATTAATTTGCTCAAATTAACTAAGTAACCTCCTGAGATAAAAAATGAAACCATCATTAAAGTGCCAAAAAACGCAGTTTATTGAATCTCCACTATGTATCACATACCACTGATTTAAAAAGACATTCTTGCTTAAAATTTATGCAACACAGCAAAAGATAAAGTGGGGCATCTGAGACTTTGTGTATTCCCAAAGAAAGACAAGTATGAAGAAAAAGACAAAGCTTGTTGGACCGCTTCCCCACACTTGTGTGCCCGAGGGGCCGTCGTTCATCTGCCTGTATCATGTTCTGCAGAGCTCCTCTTTTTGGAACAGCTGTGGCCTCTAGCCATCAGGCTATCCTGTGCAATCGCTTGGTACCCACTAAGGCACACACACATACACATGCTTGCATAACTCTGTCAAATTACTAAAGATTTCTCTTCTGATTTTCTGAGGTTACTCGAGAATAAGGAGCAAACGGTGGTGCTGTCATTAAAATGTTTCGCTTAAAGAAAAACTGGAGCTATCACTGGAGAAGAAGTGCAACACAACCTCGTGATTCCCCAACAGGCTGCACAGATTGAATTCTCATCCAAACTCCTACCTTTTTGTTCCCAAAGGGCACTGTGTTAACAAAGGCAATTCAACTGAAATAACAGAGTAGAAACATATAGTCTTCTTCAGAGTAAGGACAAACTGAACATAGGCACCACACTTGGGAAAACTAATCACAAGTTTACTTTTGAAGTCACATGTTTTGCCTTTACCTTGAATATCCCTGGTTCCTTAATATCCAGCTGGGCCACATTCCATTGCTCTATCCTTCGCCTCCTTTTTCTGCTCACTGATGAGGAGGGCTGAGGGGATGACAGCCAAAGCACGAGCAACGCCAACGCGAACCCCGCTATTATCCCGTGCACTACTGAGCACACACAGGGTGGCACAGGAAGCACCAAATACCAATACACCAACTGTGTTAAAATAATGAGACCAGTCACGGGTAAGGTCTCAGCCTCCTCTTCGGCTCTCTCGTCCTCTGGATCGAGCTCACTACACAAACCAGTGCTACCAGTATGGGGTTGCCGGGACCCAGAACGATCACCGTCTGGTGTCTCTGTGTCAGTACATAACTCAAAGTCTTCGCTGTACAGCTCACAGAAGTCCTCGTCTTCCTGTCGAGCTACCAGGGCTGACATCGAACAGCGGCCCAGAGTGAGAGAGGGAGATTTGTGGAGGGCAGAAGATGAGGCCTGGGTGAGGGCTGGCGCGAGTGATGGGAAAGAGAAAAAACCTGACTCTGGGCCCTTAGCTGTGGGGGTTTCTTCCTCGTCTTCTCCTTCTGCCCCTTCCTCCTCTTTGATGCTGTAGTTGTTGCCACCTTCTCCGTGTCCATTTACCGCTGTTACTCCGCTGAGCTCCGACGCGCTGGAGGACAGCGATTTGGCACGATAAGCAGCACTTCCAGCAGACCCCGTACCAGACTCATCCCCCATTATCTTACTAAAAAGCTGCAGAGGGTCTGACATCACTTCCGATAGCCGCCGCTTGGTATCCTCTATCTTGGCCTCCACCTCTTGGACTTTGAAGAAGGACCTACCATCTGGAGACATGATGGGGGAGGAGGGGGCTGTTTTAGAGTCTCCACCTGCTTGAGTGACAATGACGGGACTGGAGGATAAACGGGGTTGGGAGAACTGTTTGAAGAGTTGCATGTTGCGAGGTGGAGGCCGATGGGATGGCTGTATTTGCTGATGCTGAAGAGGCCCTTCCGAATGGTCAGCCTTGGAAGCGTCCGTGGACAGAGACTTAACAAAAGACTTCATTAAGTGTCGATGACGTGCGTGGGTTGGTGCTACGGTGGAAAGTGAAGGGACAGTTTCTCGAGACTCAACGTCATTGGACAAAGACCTAACCAGACTAAGAAAAGGCTTGGAGGATGACAGTGCTGCAGACTTGCATGGTGAAGAGGAGCTGGAGCTTGCGGGGGAGGGATTGACCGGGAGCCGTTCAGACGGCCAGGAGGAGCTGGCAGGAGGATTGGAGGAGAGGGTGGATGTGGGATTAATAGTCAAAGCAGGAGAGTGTGTGTGTGGCTGAGGGTCTGAGGGCTGCACAGATAAGGTGGTAGATAAAACTGGGAGAACAGCAGGTCCCGAGGGGGTGTCTGCACCAGCAGATTCAAACAGCAGTTCCTCTTTTGCTTCCAAGCCTGTAGCAACGCACCGGTCATCAGCTGCTGAAGCTGGACCTTGAAGCCCCCCTGTACCATCGAGGACAGACTTGTCTTTAACAGATCCAGCGGGTATCCCAAAGAGCTCCTCTTCCTCATCGTCTTCCTCTTTCCCCAGAGCAGAGAAGTGTATGGTGATGGTGTCACGAGAGTGGGAACGCTGGACCTGCAGCTTGGGTCCAGGGGTGTGACGAGGGGGCGGAGTGGCAGCATGCTGGCCACTTCCCCTGCTGCTGCCGCCCTGACTGCTCATCATCACCCTGCACAGGGCTCACGGCCTGGGGGGGGGAAAAACAAAACAAAACACAGAGACAGTGGGAACACGTGGTTAATAAAAAACAATGAAGCAATAGTGCATCAGTGCAGGGGGGAGGGAGGCTGTAGTGTTTGTAGTACAAATTGGCAATTCGATTTAATCAGCGATTTCAAACCAGACGTATAAGTACCCTGAGGGCCACTTCTGCAGTAGCCAGGGGATAGGTGGGAAGATGAGATCAACCAATGGGAAAAAAAATTACATTGCAATTTAATTACAGAATTGAGCAGGCCTGAACAAAATGGTCTGAGCGGAAAACTACTGGAAGTAGTCGATAAGCAGTAGAAAACTGACACCCATAGAGAATGGCATCCAAGTAGATAAAAGTATAGATTAAACTATTAAATTTGTTACCCAGCAGCACAAAATACATTAATGGCTAAACACTTCAAGATTTTTACTATGCATCATGAAATTATTGGTTGCTAACTGCCCTCAACTAATAAATGGTAAGCTAAAGAAGTGTCTACCCAGTTAACCTGACTGAACACATTCCTGCACGAGGTGCTGTTGATGAAAGAGTTCTCGAGTTCATGTGACAACTGCAGAGACCCCCACGAGCTCTAAATGCACTCCTTGTACACACAGTACTTGAGACAGAAAAGAACAGCCTTGCAGCTTTCTGTTCACCCTAATGTTAGTGGACTGGACAGGTATGTCTATGTTCCCCAACCCATTAGCTCTCATTATGTAAGGTTGTAGCCGGAAGACAGAGTTGCTCTCAGGCCAAGCCTCTATCTCTCTCCCGCTCTGTCTTACAAGCACCCAGTCACTCATCCCACTATGGCAACATGATTAATGGGTTACTTCAGAGCTCACAAGTCTCGAGAAGAAGGGCCATCAACATTTCAGCTGTGTTTAACTCCACCCTCCAAAGGGGGAAAGAATGCAGCGGGTTAAATACTGAAAAGAGGTGAAAATGAGAACGGATCAAAAGAAGGAGCACTCCAAGAGCTCAAACCTCCCCCGAGCCAGCTCACTCTCTGGGCGGCTTTTCATGAGATTTCTTTTTAAACATTGAAGTTTGCAGTACAATAAAATTAAAGCATTACAGGTAAGCAAAGTTCAAACATGACATGATATTTGGATGCAAACTAAAACGTGATATTTAGAATCCACATATACCAGTATGACTTCCTGAATGTTGCCAATACAAACAAAGGCAGCAGCATTTTAAGACCAGTTTTAAAGATAAGAGATTCTATAATGGGTTGACCTTATTTGACCTTAAAAAAGACAAACATTCACATGACAAGAAAAAAAAACCCACTTTCCCTCACCAATCCAAAACAATATACGGGTCATAATGACACCACAAAGTGGCCGTTCAGCTGAAGCGATCACAGAAACAAGGCGTCTTTTGTGTAGTTGACACAGTGGAACCGCAGTCGTTCATCATGCAATGATTTCACTGAATGAGGCCTCGCATTGTTATTGAGTTATTGTGCTTGTTTATTCTTCCACATCGTCCATATTGGTACCTCATCCTTGGTTAGCATGATCAAACAGTCAGAGTACACATATGTGCAAACATGCTGTTTGTGCACACAACACCATGCAGTCTCTTTGGTGTTGGGGCTTTCAGCTGGTATATAAAAAAATGTCTGTAATGGAAGAAGGAGGGACGGGAGAGGGACAACATAGCAGTAAGCTTGTGTGATTGTCTGCATTTCTGAGAAAGCCTCAGTGCCCCTTAGGGGCTCTCTGGTTGGCACTGTATCTCCAGAGATTGCATTTGCCGGGATGGAATAACAGAGCGCTTGACTTTCCCAGCCAGCCATTCACTTGGCTGAGCTACAATAGGTTTTGTGTGTGTCATTTTCAGTATATGCGTGTGTGCTGTTGGTTCTGCCATGGTAAGTGCTAGGGGCAGAGCAGATCGAATAAAAACAACAAAAAAATGACAGATACAGGGAAAAAAAGAGCAGCATAAAGAAGAAAGATGAAAGGCCACAGGGGGTCTGCAGAAGCAGCAGACGACCTTTCAGAGACAAGCTTTTGAAGCAGAATTTACTTAAAGACAGGAGGAGAGAGAAAACAGGGAGGATGACAAAGATGAGGGGGAGTGGATGAGAGTGAGAGGAGAGCATGGAGAGGAGACAAATTAAGTGGGGAGACAGAGTCATGGAGATGGGAGAGGTTGTTGTTGTCATCAGAGCCTGAAGGACGAATTAAAGCATTATGGAGGCTGACAAGGTGAGCAGGGAGCAACGTTTCCAAGTTTTCTCAGAGTCAGGTTTTAGCAAGGTGCAGCCAAAAGACAAAAAAATAAAAAAATAAAAATCGCACACTGAATCAATGCAAAACATAGCACGCTTGCACGCACCTACACATTTTAAGGTACTGTTCTCCTCTGTAGACGTAAGGTTTGCTGTTAAGATGAGTGCTATTCAGGTTCACACCAACACTGTGTTTGCTGACACACCCACAGTTTCGGGTACTTCCTGTCATCAAAGCTCCACTGCCATTAAACGCCTTGCGTGTGTTTGTTTTAGCCACTACTGTGAGACGAGAGGAGACTGGCATGGAGACGAGACTCATCCAATTAATCAATGCAAGCATGGCCTCTCTAATCAGCTCAAGCCAGCCCTATGGAGACTTCAGAGAAAGGGAGGGAGGTTAAAAGCAGCAAGGTAACATAATGACATAAGAGGCTGAACAGGCTACAGGGCAACAAGCATGTCAGCACAGGGCACAGCGGCCCGCGTAAAAGGTGTTCAATGACGACTTCTACATGAAGCAATGTTTTTGTAATGTAGAGTCTGCTAATCAATATTATACACAAAAACATCCTTGTCCAATACCAACATCCTGCTTCAATTCAAAGGGCATCTACTCCACAGAAATTCTCTGCTATCCATTATTAGACACAGAAAGGGAACATGAGAAGTGGGCTGCTAAAGGAAAGGTGGGAATTTTAGTCAGCACTGGGTTTTTAGGGCCAGTACCAAGTTGTTGTTGTTTCCTAGTTAATCCCAACCTATTAAGTGCATCCCTGTAATTAAATAACAAGGTGACTGGCGGGTGTTCAGGACAGCCCGGCGTGACCTCGCCTAAAGTCTGCAAAGTTCATTTCCGCAAAGACATTTTACCTTTAGATAAACAAACAGAAAAGAAAAGAAATAAAAGCAGGCGTGCAGGAGTGACGTGAGCCCACTGGGTGAAAAATGGTTGCGAGAGAAGAACAGAGAGGACATCAAAAGAAGAAGCGAGTCAGCGAAGGGACTGAAAGGGGAGGGCGACGGCGGGAAGATAAATCGAGTGAGACAGAGAGATCGGAGATGAACGCAGGGTGCAGGGCGGGGGAGGGGGGATGATTGTCACTAACAACCGAGATACACAGAGGCCTCACTCACTAACGAGTGCACGCACACTCACACTCTGTGGACTTGTGATGCGCACAGTTGCCTGGATGAGTAGGGTGCAAGCAAACCGAGACAAAGGGGAGAATAGTCTGAGCAGCTAAAGCGAGCGGAGGGAGAGAAACAGAAAAAGACACAAAGGTCGAGGAGGCTTTGTCGCCGAGCACACGAGTCACACAAAAGCTCAGAGCAGGTAAACACACGACGCACCTTGTTTCATGCTCTGCTGCTCGCTCCTAGGAGAACGCAGGTCCCAGTCATCATGGGCACCCTGGCCCTATTACGCAAACTGTACTGGACTTTGTTTGCTTACATGCAGCATATTGCACAGAGGGCGAGTCAGAGCGTGTCAGCTGGGAAAGAATCCAAACATTTCCCACCGTGACCTAAATCAGAAGAGTCGAACGCAAATGAAGAGAGGTCATCACGATCATAGACCAACACGAAAGCCGGACTACGCCCGCTTTTATCAGCCAAGGAGTCCCTGACTTGACTCTCACAGTGAAGAAGCAACACAAGCAGTTCTTAAAATAGCTCTGCGAGGCAGTGGAGGTGTCGTCCCCCAGCACCAGACTGGCCGTTTACAGCGCACAGATGGGAGACTAAAAAGGATTTAAGCAGTATAATAGTATATTCAACAGACAAAGACAAGATTTAAAATCGCTACTAAATGACATGAACTTTTTTTCGTAGACAGGCAGTCGCAAAGCGCTGTGCACAAAGGTTAAAATAAAGAAAACATCAAGTAATAAAATAGACAATATAAATAATGCAAATTCAAAAGTGTTGATTAACAGAAGGCCTGTTTAAATAATAAAGTTTTTAACTGCTTTTTAAAGGGTTCCACAGAGTCAGCCAAAAGTAGTTGTGGTGGTAGACTGTTCCACAGCCTTGGTGCCACCGACTGAAAGGCTGAAAAGGGAAGAAAATTTAGAAATAACAGAGTCATCAATAAAGCGCCTGCGCCTAAAAAACACCTTGGGGAAGAGACTGAGTTGACAGTCACATTAAAAGAGACTGACTTATGGTCGCTAAAAACAACGTCATTTAAATTCACGTGGTCAAGGGAAATGCCATAAGTGAAGACCAAGTCCAGAGTATGCCCAGCAGTGTGAGTAGGGCCTGATACATGCTGAACAAAATTAAAAGAGTCCATGATGCTCAGGAACTCCTTAGTGGTACTATTTGATGAGTCTTCTGCATGAATGTTGAAGTCTCCAACAATGACGACCTTGCCCAGTTTAATAGTGGAAGTTAAAAGTTCTTGCAAGTCTGCCAGAAAAGATGCAGCAGACCCAGGTGGACGATAAATTAAGATACTGTACATGGGCTGATCTCTTCCAATTTTTATCACGATCATCTCGAAAGAATTGTAACAGCTCGAAGAGATCATCTGGCATAAAAATGTCTTTTTTAAAAATTACAGCTGTTCCACCTCCTCGTCGAGATATCCGAGGTGCACAGAGAAACGAACAGTCTGCGGGACAAAGCTCTAAAAGATGTGAGACTTCATTCTCACGCTGCCACGTCTCAGAGATAAACATAAAATCAAGCGTCTCTGCACAGAACAAGTCATTTAAAATATAAGACTTGTTAGCAATTGAGCGGGCATTAATCAACATCACCTCTGTAAAGATCTGCGATCATGTCTTGTAGTTCCTGCAGTGTTGGCTTATCGTGAGCTGGTTACTTACCAAGAACATGACTTTTTTTTTGTTCTTTTTCGAAGTGTTTCGAATGGCTCTTTTAAGGATGCAAATAAGGAATTAGACTTTTAAATGTATGCTAATTTCACAGGTTTTAAAAACAGAAATCTGAAGCAAGATTCAGAATTCGTGCTTCGATTTGTCAACATTAGAGTTTTTTTTAGAGAGGGGATTATATCTGCATTTATTATTCAGAAAAATTCCAAATTATTGTCAGCAGCCGGGAAAAAATCCATTTTTGATATGCGAACAAACCTTTCGGTAAATCTGTAAAGTAAATGACGACAAATTTATTTCGGGCTCGGTGTGTGGGAAAAAAGAGAGAAAATGGGTTTTAATGTGTTTTTCACATTTTGTATTTTGCATTGCAAGTTTTCTCAAATGTATTCTTTAAATATGTGTTAACCAAACTCTTATTTGCATATGCATTCATCAGCCTCTCTGTTAAAGTGTTTGCTGATGCAAATATGTAATCAGCCCACCACATGTCAGCAGCTCAACACATTTAAGAATACAGACATGGTCTAGACCTTTAGCTTTAGTTCAAACATCAGAATGGGGAAGAAAGGCTATTTAAGTCACCTGGTATGATTGGTGGTGCCATATAGGCTGGAATATTTCAGCAACAGCTGATCTGCTGGGATTTCCTAAGAGATTTACAGAGAATGGTCAGAAAAGTATGCAGCGAGTGGCTGTTCTCTGTGTGGATCATGTCAGAGTTTAGAGGAGAATGACCAGATGGTTTCAGTCTGATAGGAAAGAAACTGTAACTCAAGCAGCCACTTGTTACAACCAAGGTATGCAGTTGGGCATCTCTGAATGCACACGTTGAACCTTGAAACAGATGACCGATAGCAGCAGAAGACCACACAAGGTACAACTCCTGTCCACTAAGAACAGGAAACAGGACTGCAGTTCACACAGGCTCAACATAATTGGAGAAAAAGAAGATTGAGTTTCATCAGACCAGACAATATTTTTCCAATTTCTGCTGCAATAGTTGGATGGCAAGGTCAGAATTTGGTGCAAATAATATGAAAGCACTGATCCATTCTACCTGGTATCAATGGTTCAGGGTGCTGGTGGTGTAATGGCGTACACAGAAAATATCAACACAAAAGCCTCCCTGAGTATTGTTGCTGACCATGTCCATCCCTTTATGACTCTAGTGTATCCATTTTCTGATCCGATTCCAGCAGCTCGGATTCTACAAAGCTCAAATCAACTTAAGCAGTCACCAGATCTCAATACAACCTTTGGGATCAGGGGTGCACATAAGTGGTCCGCGGTTGCGCATTCGCTGTCAAAATAAAAGACGCACACCAGATAAGATGTTGCAACGTGTGTTTGCGTCCATAATATTTTCTGGAGGAGGACAGACATTAGTTTAGAACTCTCATAGATGTCGAAGAAGCTCCTTTAAGCAATTACTTTGGTGTTCCTCCACCTCCAAAGAAATGTCAGAAGGAGTCCGAACCGCAAAAGAAGCACGTATTCTCGGAAAATTGATTGCAGGAGCTGAGCTGGCTTCAAACAAATGATGAACGCACAGAGGTGTGGTGCAGAATATGCCGTGAAAATCCCACTCTAGCGGCCCAAAACAGTGCCTTTTATATGTACGCAAACGCGCGTTGCAACTTCTTATCTGGTGCGCGTCTTTTATTTTGACAGCGAATGCGCACCTGCAGACCACTTATGTGCACCCCTGTTTGGGATGTGGCAGAACAGTAGAGTCACATTGTGGATGTGCAGCTGACAAATCTGCAGCAACTGTATGATGTTCTCATGTCAAAATGGACCAAAATCTCACAGGAACGTTTCTAGCACCTTGTAAAATCTACGAATTTATGGAAAAAAGGGGGTCCAGCCCAGTACTAGCAAAGCGTAACGGTAAATGTATGTCAACAGACAAGAGACAGTATTTTAAAATAAAGACATTTTTGAACATTTTCTTTGCAAAAGTCTAAAATAAGACACGTTATGTAAGTTAAATAGCCCCCAAATGCAAAAGCGAAACGTCCTTTTGATACTGTACCCCCCACTTTTGCATCACACCTTTGTAATGTTAAACCTGAGTGTGGACATGGACATAATGGACATGTCACATTCAGTTTTACTGACTATTTTTGGGCATTCACATCAGCAGTGATCACCACTGCCTGTCTCACACTCAGCCTGTTAGACCAGCACGTTTGCACAACAACAACACTTGCTGTGTAACATTCTCATATGAAACACACAAGCACACAGAGCTTAACACAGTCCACCTCCAGGGTCTGACAGTACACGAGCTGGTAGTTTGATGAGCTCCAGTTGAGCTCAGAGGAAACACAGAGCGGTTTGATGGTGAGCTGAATCATGCAGCTCTCTCTTAAAGAAAGACGAAAAACAACAATAAAATAAAAGCCAAGCGAGATAAAGAGCACACGCTCAACTGAGCTGGATCAAACCAGTTTTCTTCACCTCTCCCTCTCGTCCTCCGTCTCTCTAACCCAGAATGCACCATCGACACGTCAAACATCCAACCTCGCCGTGCGGCAGATGATCGGGTGGTTGCCATGCCAACCGAGAAGCTTTCATCTTGCTCTGCACTCGTGTCTGCATCCTTTTGTTAGGGAGGGCAGCTTCTTCTCACTCTGTAATCGTGCTCTCTGAGGAGTGTGTGGTGTGGAGGGTTTGTTAGCACAAAGCTGTCAGCGAACTGTGTTCAGTGTGTGTGTGTGCGCGCGTGTAGGATGTGTGGGTACAAAGCCACAGAACAAAAAAAAGAAAAGGCAAAACCCAGATCTCAGATGTAAAACTTCTGAGATATGTGAAAAAGAGAATGTGATGCACATCAATTGGTCATTTTGGGGATTGTGTTGTCTAAGACGCGAATTTCCCCGATCAATTAATAAACTCTGATTATGGTTGTCAACATCAATAAACTTTCTCCTAACAACTTAAGCCAACTTTAATGTTCTCTTTGAGTGTTGAGATGAGCATGTGCCTGTTACCAACATTACAAGCAGCTGATTTGTTCAAATACCTGGTTTGACGCTTCGCTTCGATAAAGAACAGATTTGGGATAGATATCCAAATCTGGCAGCGTCTTACCCAATTTGACAGATCAAAAGGCAAACGAACGTGCAATTCTGACTGAATGCACACAAACATGCAGGCATCCAATACAAACATATTAAGTTATTTATAATCCATGTAAAAGCTGCTTGATGACCTGAAAACAGCTGGAGGATTTGGCATTAGTCATAATCCATCCAATTACACGATGAATGGAGAAACGGAGGGAATAGGGGGAGACGTGAGGGGCAGAAAAAAAAGACAGAAAAATGTGTCTCTGTGGATAAAGCTGACTGTCACAAATAAGTCGTCTATATTGCTGAAACATTAAACAGTAGTGCTGCTGTTTGTGGCTGAGAGCAGTAGATGCAGTGCCAGTTTTTGTTAGGTTTCACACATTTAGTAACTGAAAGTCACACAAGGAAATTAGATTTGAAAAAAAGTAGGACAGAAATAGACACTAATATTACAGCCTTCAGGTTGCACACCTTCCACCAACGATTCATACTGCAGTATGAATCGTCTGTCAGACTTATATAATATATTGTAGGTAGCAAACACTTCCCAACTTACTAAAGTATCAGATCAAAAGTGAAATGTGTTCCTGAGTGCTAAAATGTCACAGTGATTTTTGACAAAGTATAAAATGTACATCCATTTTCTTAACTGCTTATTCAGTTCAGGGTCACAGGGGAGTTGAAGCCAATCCCCGGCATCTTAGGCCAAGAAGCAGGGTACATCCTGGACAGGCACAACCATTCATGTTCAGCTTCTCTCTTCATCTTTCTTATTGGTAGTCTCTTCAGTTGGTCACTTTGAAGCTGACAAAAAATTAAGAGCTGCGTCTACACCGGAGTCTAAGGAGCTTGGAAAGAAAAGCATCTGGAATTCTTTAAATTGCTTCAAGACGTTTCACCTCTCATCCAAGAAGCTTATTCAGTTCTAAGGTCCACTGTCCCCCCAATAGGGACAATGGACCCCCAATGATCCTCTAACTCAGGGGTGTCGAACTCCAGGCCTCGAGAGCTGGTGTCCTGCAGGTTTTAGATATCACCCTGTTTCATCACACCTGAATCAAATGATTAGTTCATTACCAGGCTTCTGGAGAACTTCAAGACATCTTGAGGTCATTTAGCCGTTTAAATCAGCTGTGTTGGATCAAGGACACATCTAAAACCTGCAGGACACTGGGCCTCGAGGCCTGGAGTTCAACGCCTGTGCTCTACCTAATCACATGAACCAAGGTGTGAAAAAAGGGTGTAGGTCACAATCAGCCAAGGTTTCGGGTGAACTCATTGTGAAACCAAGCCCCACTCAGGTCAGAAGAATCAGGATGCGAGTGGGCGTTAAGGGAGGTGATTTGTGCTGATTTGGTTACCAGAGACCACAGAGAGTCAGTAACATTTGACAACTTCAACAAGCAAACAGATGATTGACATGTGATAAGATGACAAATAGATTAAAAAGTTACCTAGGCAAAGGTTTCCTGGAATTTCTGCTCACAACCGACCATTGGTGATAAAGCAATGCAAACAAGAGAATTGCTTCATGTGTGAACGTCCCACATTGGGCGACAAGTGAAAGTGCAGCTGGCAATTAGTGGGCCACCCTGTCTCTTAACCTTAAAGTTAAGAAATGTTTCATTTGGGGACCTGCCCACTGCTTGAAATCCCCAAATGTCACTGACTTTCTACAGTTTCTAGCTACCACGTAAGTGTGTATTTTTTTCCTATGTGGACACTTGAGTCCAAGTAACTACTTGTCCTAACTTGATGTGCCAGGACTAATATGGAAAGTTGAGCATGCTCTTTTTGATATGCTAGGCAGGAATTCAGAAAACGCATCCATTCAATCTAATATTTTACCCAATTAATGTAGAGCTATCCACTCCCTTAATGCTATCCGCTGACTGGGAATCATTGGAGGGGCATCACACATCACATTTACCTTCACTCACTATACAGCCATTAATGATTTAAGCTTAGATAATACTCCACTGTGGACATGGACAGCTGGAAACCTGACAGCCGAGCGCTCATCCTGTTATTTTTTTTTTTTACCTCCACTTGAAGTCCACTGCCTGGGGCGCAGGCATAGTTGCATTGTAATGTAAATTCTCTGTGGACTAGTCTACGTGGTCCCAAAAAACAGGCAGGCACACGGACGTCTGTACGGATCCTTACGCTAACCATCTGATGATGAAATCTGACTGAACCCTAGTGGACGTGGGAAAAGTAATTCCTGCTTAAGCGGTTTGATGGTGAGCTGAATCATGCAGCTCTCTCTTAAAGAAAGACGAAAAACAACAATAAAATAAAAGCCAAGCGAGATAAAGAGCACACGCTCAACTGAGCTGGATCAAACCAGTTTTCTTCACCTCTCCCTCTCGTCCTCCGTCTCTCTAACCCAGAATGCACCATCGACACGTCAAACATCCAACCTCGCCGTGCGGCAGATGATCGGGTGGTTGCCATGCCAACCGAGAAGGGGCATTAATCAACATCACCTCTGTAAAGATCTGCGATCATGTCTTGTAGTTCCTGCAGTGTTGGCTTATCGTGAGCTGCTTACTTACCAAGAACATGACTTTTTTTTTGTTCTTTTTCGAAGTGTTTCGAATGGCTCTTTTAAGGATGCAAATAAGGAATTAGACTTTTAAATGTATACCGCCACTATTGTTGAGTGTGTGTCTGATCACACGCTCAACAAGCTAGATATAGGGGGGGAAAAAATGGCACATTTCAACACGAAGAACCATTGTTTGAAAGCCGCCCCCTGTTATTTTATGTCATTAATATGCTAATGAGCCCCTGTGTCGAAGCCTCTATTGTGCGCCACTTCACTGTCAAAAATGAGCCGCAAAGAAAGGAGATTAGATATTTCGAGCTGTTTATTGGGCTGGAATCGTTTAATGATGTTGGTTTTGCAGGCTGTGTTGATACTGTGGGTCTACTTGGTAAATATTGAATAAAAACATAGATGTGAATGTAATTTAAATAGTTCTTCTAAATGCCCTGAAGGCTTGCAGCAACTTTAAGGAGCAATCCATGAATAGAAATTCAAAATCTAGGTTGCTTCCCTACATTTAGGCCTCTTTAATGCTGGCAGTTTATCCTGTCCCTGTGAACAGAATATTACAGAAATATCTTAAAGGAACAATGGATTTGGGAGATCATGATCACAAGCCTTGCCAGGCTTCAAGCTATGCGCTTGTAGCTGAGCCAAGCTAGTTCTGACCAATAACAACCTTCCTACTGGCCAGCAATGTTACACAGCTATGGTCCTGCTTTAGGTTTTCCATTACATCATTTCAATAGGCTTTTGCCTCACCATTTAAATCTGCCCAGATTTAGATTAATTTTTCACCAAGATCTTGAGTTGATGCTGCTGCCTATTCCTCTTCACATCCCCAAAGATTCATAATGGGATTGAGGTCTGTACTCTGTGGTGGCCAATTATGTGTCTGCAGGGAAGGGAAAAAAATCCATTGATGGAAAAACTTGGTCATTCATTTGCAATGGAAGACTCATACCTGCTTGTTTAGTTAAATCCATGTGGTGCCATTTTTTTTTTTTTTGCCAGGCTGAAGGCCTGTTAGGCCTGTGCATTGGCTAGTTTCTGTATTTTTAGACAATAGCTACAACCATTAAGTTTGCAAATGTTATTGCTTAAATTTGTTTTGCTGCTCAGCTAATAGCAAACGGCAAATGTCCACTAATCAAGGCAAGCTTAAGCAGGGATTACATTTCCCACGTCCACTAGTCCACTAGGGTTCACTCAGATTTCATCATCAGATGGTTAGCGTAAGGATCCGTACAGACGTCCGTGTGCCTGCCTGTTTTTTGGAACCACGTAGACTAGTCCACAGAGAATTTACATTACAATGCAACTATGCCTGCGCCCCAGGCAGTGGACTTCAAGTGGAGGTAAAAAAAAAAAATAACAGGATGAGCGCTCGGCTGTCAGGTTTCCAGCTGTCCATGTCCACAGTGGAGTATTATCTAAGCTTAAATCATTAATGGCTGTATAGTGAGTGAAGGTAAATGTGATGTGTGATGCCCCTCCAATGATTCCCAGTCAGCGGATAGCATTAAGGGAGTGGATAGCTCTACATTAATTGGGTAAAATATTAGATTGAATGGATGCGTTTTCTGAATTCCTGCCTAGCATATCAAAAAGAGCATGCTCAACTTTCCATATTAGTCCTGGCACATCAAGTTAGGACAAGTAGTTACTTGGACTCAAGTGTCCACATAGGAAAAAAATACACACTTATGTGGTAGCTAGAAACTGTAGAAAGTCAGTGACATTTGGGGATTTCAAGCAGTGGGCAGGTCCCCAAATGAAACATTTCTTAACTTTAAGGTTAAGAGACAGGGTGGCCCACTAATTGCCAGCTGCACTTTCACTTGTCGCCCAATGTGGGACGTTCACACATGAAGCAATTCTCTTGTTTGCATTGCTTTATCACCAATGGTCGGTTGTGAGCAGAAATTCCAGGAAACCTTTGCCTAGGTAACTTTTTAATCTATTTGTCATCTTATCACATGTCAATCATCTGTTTGCTTGTTGAAGTTGTCAAATGTTACTGACTCTCTGTGGTCTCTGGTAACCAAATCAGCACAAATCACCTCTCTTAACGCCCACTCGCATCCTGATTCTTCTGACCTGAGTGGGGCTTGGTTTCACAATGAGTTCACCCGAAACCTTGGCTGATTGTGACCTACACCCTTTTTTCACACCTTGGTTCATGTGATTAGGTAGAGCACAGGCGTTGAACTCCAGGCCTCGAGGGCCAGTGTCCTGCAGGTTTTAGATGTGTCCTTGATCCAACACAGCTGATTTAAATGGCTAAATGACCTCCTCAACATGTCTTGAAGTTCTCCAGAGGCCTGGTAATGAACTAATCATTTGATTCAGGTGTGTTGACCCAGGGTGATATCTAAAACCTGCAGGACACCGCTCTCGAGGCCTGGAGTTCGACACCCCTGAGTTAGAGGATCATTGGGGGTCCATTGTCCCTATTGGGGGGACAGTGGACCTTAGAACTGAATAAGCTTCTTGGATGAGAGGTGAAACGTCTTGAAGCAATTTAAAGAATTCCAGATGCTTTTCTTTCCAAGCTCCTTAGACTCCGGTGTAGACGCAGCTCTTAATTTTTTGTCAGCTTCAAAGTGACCAACTGAAGAGACTACCAATAAGAAAGATGAAGAGAGAAGCTGAACATGAATGGTTGTGCCTGTCCAGGATGTGCCCTGCTTCTTGGCCTAAGATGCCGGGGATTGGCTTCAACTCCCCTGTGACCCTGAACTGAATAAGCAGTTAAGAAAATGGATGTACATTTTATACTTTGTCAAAAATCACTGTGACATTTTAGCACTCAGGAACACATTTCACTTTTGATCTGATACTTTAGTAAGTTGGGAAGTGTTTGCTACCTACAATATATTATATAAGTCTGACAGACGATTCATACTGCAGTATGAATCGTTGGTGGAAGGTGTGCAACCTGAAGGCTGTAATATTAGTGTCTATTTCTGTCCTACTTTTTTTCAAATCTAATTTCCTTGTGTGACTTTCAGTTACTAAATGTGTGAAACCTAACAAAAACTGGCACTGCATCTACTGCTCTCAGCCACAAACAGCAGCACTACTGTTTAATGTTTCAGCAATATAGACGACTTATTTGTGACAGTCAGCTTTATCCACAGAGACACATTTTTCTGTCTTTTTTTTCTGCCCCTCACGTCTCCCCCTATTCCCTCCGTTTCTCCATTCATCGTGTAATTGGATGGATTATGACTAATGCCAAATCCTCCAGCTGTTTTCGGGTCATCAAGCAGCTTTTACATGGATTATAAATAACTTAATATGTTTGTATTGGATGCCTGCATGTTTGTGTGCGTTCAGTCAGAATTGCACGTTCGTTTGCCTTTTGATCTGTCAAATTGGGTAAGACGCTGCCAGATTTGGATATCTATCCCAAATCTGTTCTTTATCGAAGCGAAGCGTCAAACCAGGTATTTGAACAAATCAGCTGCTTGTAATGTTGGTAACAGGCACATGCTCATCTCAACACTCAAAGAGAACATTAAAGTTGGCTTAAGTTGTTAGGAGAAAGTTTATTGATGTTGACAACCATAATCAGAGTTTATTAATTGATCGGGGACATTCGCGTCTTAGACAACACAATCCCCAAAATGACCAATTGATGTGCATCACATTCTCTTTTTCACATATCTCAGAAGTTTTACATCTGAGATCTGGGTTTTGCCTTTTCTTTTTTTTGTTCTGTGGCTTTGTACCCACACATCCTACACGCGCGCACACACACACACTGAACACAGTTCGCTGACAGCTTTGTGCTAACAAACCCTCCACACCACACACTCCTCAGAGAGCACGATTACAGAGTGAGAAGAAGCTGCCCTCCCTAACAAAAGGATGCAGACACGAGTGCAGAGCAAGATGAAAGCTTCTCGGTTGGCATGGCAACCACCCGATCATCTGCCGCACGGCGAGGTTGGATGTTTGACGTGTCGATGGTGCATTCTGGGTTAGAGAGACGGAGGACGAGAGGGAGAGGTGAAGAAAACTGGTTTGATCCAGCTCAGTTGAGCGTGTGCTCTTTATCTCGCTTGGCTTTTATTTTATTGTTGTTTTTCGTCTTTCTTTAAGAGAGAGCTGCATGATTCAGCTCACCATCAAACCGCTCTGTGTTTCCTCTGAGCTCAACTGGAGCTCATCAAACTACCAGCTCGTGTACTGTCAGACCCTGGAGGTGGACTGTGTTAAGCTCTGTGTGCTTGTGTGTTTCATATGAGAATGTTACACAGCAAGTGTTGTTGTTGTGCAAACGTGCTGGTCTAACAGGCTGAGTGTGAGACAGGCAGTGGTGATCACTGCTGATGTGAATGCCCAAAAATAGTCAGTAAAACTGAATGTGACATGTCCATTATGTCCATGTCCACACTCAGGTTTAACATTACAAAGGTGTGATGCAAAAGTGGGGGGTACAGTATCAAAAGGACGTTTCGCTTTTGCATTTGGGGGCTATTTAACTTACATAACGTGTCTTATTTTAGACTTTTGCAAAGAAAATGTTCAAAAATGTCTTTATTTTAAAATACTGTCTCTTGTCTGTTGACATACATTTACCGTTACGCTTTGCTAGTACTGGGCTGGACCCCCTTTTTTCCATAAATTCGTAGATTTTACAAGGTGCTAGAAACGTTCCTGTGAGATTTTGGTCCATTTTGACATGAGAACATCATACAGTTGCTGCAGATTTGTCAGCTGCACATCCACAATGTGACTCTACTGTTCTGCCACATCCCAAACAGGGGTGCACATAAGTGGTCTGCAGGTGCGCATTCGCTGTCAAAATAAAAGACGCGCACCAGATAAGAAGTTGCAACGCGCGTTTGCGTACATATAAAAGGCACTGTTTTGGGCCGCTAGAGTGGGATTTTCACGGCATATTCTGCACCACATCTCTGTGCGTTCATCATTTGTTTGAAGCCAGCTCACCTCCTGCAACCACTTTTCCGAGAATACGTGCTTCTTTTGCGGTTCGGACTCCTTCTGACATTTCTTTGGAGGTGGAGGAACACCAAAGTAATTGCTTAAAGGAGCTTCTTCGACATCTTTAAGAGTTCTAAACAAATGTCTGTCCTCCTCCAGAAAATCTTATGTACGCAAACACGCGTTGCAACATCTTATCTGGTGTGCGTCTTTTATTTTGACAGCGAATGCGCAACCGCGGACCACTTATGTGCACCCCTGATCCCAAAGGTTGTATTGAGATCTGGTGACTGCTTAAGTTGATTTGAGCTTTGTAGAATCCGAGCTGCTGGAATCGGATCAGAAAATGGATACACTAGAGTCATAAAGGGATGGACATGGTCAGCAACAATACTCAGGGAGGCTTTTGTGTTGATATTTTCTGTGTACGCCATTACACCACCAGCACCCTGAACCATTGATACCAGGTAGAATGGATCAGTGCTTTCATATTATTTGCACCAAATTCTGACCTTGCCATCCAACTATTGCAGCAGAAATTGGAAAAATATTGTCTGGTCTGATGAAACTCAATCTTCTTTTTCTCCAATTATGTTGAGCCTGTGTGAACTGCAGTCCTGTTTCCTGTTCTTAGTGGACAGGAGTTGTACCTTGTGTGGTCTTCTGCTGCTATCGGTCATCTGTTTCAAGGTTCAACGTGTGCATTCAGAGATGCCCAACTGCATACCTTGGTTGTAACAAGTGGCTGCTTGAGTTACAGTTTCTTTCCTATCAGACTGAAACCATCTGGTCATTCTCCTCTAAACTCTGACATGATCCACACAGAGAACAGCCACTCGCTGCATACTTTTCTGACCATTCTCTGTAAATCTCTTAGGAAATCCCAGCAGATCAGCTGTTGCTGAAATATTCCAGCCTATATGGCACCACCAATCATACCAGGTGACTTAAATAGCCTTTCTTCCCCATTCTGATGTTTGAACTAAAGCTAAAGGTCTAGACCATGTCTGTATTCTTAAATGTGTTGAGCTGCTGACATGTGGTGGGCTGATTACATATTTGCATCAGCAAACACTTTAACAGAGAGGCTGATGAATGCATATGCAAATAAGAGTTTGGTTAACACATATTTAAAGAATACATTTGAGAAAACTTGCAATGCAAAATACAAAATGTGAAAAACACATTAAAACCCATTTTCTCTCTTTTTTCCCACACACCGAGCCCGAAATAAATTTGTCGTCATTTACTTTACAGATTTACCGAAAGGTTTGTTCGCATATCAAAAATGGATTTTTTCCCGGCTGCTGACAATAATTTGGAATTTTTCTGAATAATAAATGCAGATATAATCCCCTCTCTAAAAAAAACTCTAATGTTGACAAATCGAAGCACGAATTCTGAATCTTGCTTCAGATTTCTGTTTTTAAAACCTGTGAAATTAGCATACATTTAAAAGTCTAATTCCTTATTTGCATCCTTAAAAGAGCCATTCGAAACACTTCGAAAAAGAACAAAAAAAAAGTCATGTTCTTGGTAAGTAAGCAGCTCACGATAAGCCAACACTGCAGGAACTACAAGACCCTGTCCCGGTGGGTCGCAGTTAAATGGATGTTAATTAATGCCCGCTCAATTGCCAACAAGTCTTATATCTTAAATGACTTGTTCTGTACGGAGAAGCTTGATTTTATGTTTATCTCTGAGACGTGGCAGCGTGAGAATGAAGTCTCACATCTTTTAGAGCTGTGTCCCGCTGACTGTTCATTTCTCTGTGCACCTCGGATATCTGGACGAGGAGGTGGAACAGCGGTAATTTTCAAAAAGACATTTTTATGCCAGATGATCTCCTCAAGCTGTTACAACTCTTTTGAGATGATTATGATAAAAATTGGAAGAGAACAGCCCATATACGGCATTTTAATTTATCGTCCACCTGGGTCTGCTGCATCTTTTCTGTCAGACTTACAAGAATTTTTAACTTCCACTATTAAACTGGGCAAGGTCATCATTGTTGGAGACTTCAACATTCATGCAGAGGACTCATCAAATAGTACCACTAAGGAGTTCCTGAGCATCATGGACTCTTTTAATTTTGTTCAGCATGTATCAGGCCCTACTCACACTGCTGGGCATACTCTGGACTTGGTCTTCACTTATGGCATTTCCCTTGACCACGTGCATTTAAATGACGTTGTTTTTAGCGACCATAAGTCAGTCTCTTTTAATGTGTCTGTCAACTCAGTCTCTTCCCCAAGGTGTTTTTTAGGCGCAGGCGCTTTATTGATGACTCTGTTATTTCTAAATTTTCTTCCCTTTTCAGCCTTTCAGTCGGTGGCACCAAGGCTGTGGAACAGTCTACCACCACAACTACTTTTGGCTGACTCTGTGGAACCCTTTAAAAAGCAGTTAAAAACTTTATTATTTAAACAGGCCTTCTGTTAATCAACACTTTTGAATTTGCATTATTTATATTGTCTATTTTATTACTTGATGTTTTCTTTATTTTAACCTTTGTGCACAGCGCTTTGCGACTGCCTGTCTACGAAAAAAAGTTCATGTCTTTAGTAGCGATTTTAAATCTTGTCTTTGTCTGTTGAATATACTATTATACTGCTTAAATCCTTTTTAGTCTCCCATCTGTGCGCTGTAAACGGCCAGTCTGGTGCTGAGGGACGACACCTCCACTGCCTCGCAGAGCTATTTTAAGAACTGCTTGTGTTGCTTCTTCACTGTGAGAGTCAAGTCAGGGACTCCTTGGCTGATAAAAGCGGGTGTAGTCCGGCTTTCGTGTTGGTCTATGATCGTGATGACCTCTCTTCATTTGCGTTCGACTCTTCTGATTTAGGTCACGGTGGGAAATGTTTGGATTCTTTCCCAGCTGACACGCTCTGACTCGCCCTCTGTGCAATATGCTGCATGTAAGCAAACAAAGTCCAGTACAGTTTGCGTAATAGGGCCAGGGTGCCCATGATGACTGGGACCTGCGTTCTCCTAGGAGCGAGCAGCAGAGCATGAAACAAGGTGCGTCGTGTGTTTACCTGCTCTGAGCTTTTGTGTGACTCGTGTGCTCGGCGACAAAGCCTCCTCGACCTTTGTGTCTTTTTCTGTTTCTCTCCCTCCGCTCGCTTTAGCTGCTCAGACTATTCTCCCCTTTGTCTCGGTTTGCTTGCACCCTACTCATCCAGGCAACTGTGCGCATCACAAGTCCACAGAGTGTGAGTGTGCGTGCACTCGTTAGTGAGTGAGGCCTCTGTGTATCTCGGTTGTTAGTGACAATCATCCCCCCTCCCCCGCCCTGCACCCTGCGTTCATCTCCGATCTCTCTGTCTCACTCGATTTATCTTCCCGCCGTCGCCCTCCCCTTTCAGTCCCTTCGCTGACTCGCTTCTTCTTTTGATGTCCTCTCTGTTCTTCTCTCGCAACCATTTTTCACCCAGTGGGCTCACGTCACTCCTGCACGCCTGCTTTTATTTCTTTTCTTTTCTGTTTGTTTATCTAAAGGTAAAATGTCTTTGCGGAAATGAACTTTGCAGACTTTAGGCGAGGTCACGCCGGGCTGTCCTGAACACCCGCCAGTCACCTTGTTATTTAATTACAGGGATGCACTTAATATGTTGGGATTAACTAGGAAACAACAACAACTTGGTACTGGCCCTAAAAACCCAGTGCTGACTAAAATTCCCACCTTTCCTTTAGCAGCCCACTTCTCATGTTCCCTTTCTGTGTCTAATAATGGATAGCAGAGAATTTCTGTGGAGTAGATGCCCTTTGAATTGAAGCAGGATGTTGGTATTGGACAAGGATGTTTTTGTGTATAATATTGATTAGCAGACTCTACATTACAAAAACATTGCTTCATGTAGAAGTCGTCATTGAACACCTTTTACGCGGGCCGCTGTGCCCTGTGCTGACATGCTTGTTGCCCTGTAGCCTGTTCAGCCTCTTATGTCATTATGTTACCTTGCTGCTTTTAACCTCCCTCCCTTTCTCTGAAGTCTCCATAGGGCTGGCTTGAGGTGATTAGAGAGGCCATGCTTGCATTGATTAATTGGATGAGTCTCGTCTCCATGCCAGTCTCTTCTCGTCTCACAGTAGTGGCTAAAACAAACACACGCAAGGCGTTTAATGGCAGTGGAGCTTTGATGACAGGAAGTACCCGAAACTGTGGGTGTGTCAGCAAACACAGTGTTGGTGTGAACCTGAATAGCACTCATCTTAACAGCAAACCTTACGTCTACAGAGGAGAACAGTACCTTAAAATGTGTAGGTGCGTGCAAGCGTGCTATGTTTTGCATTGATTCAGTGTGCGATTTTTATTTTTTTATTTTTTTGTCTTTTGGCTGCACCTTGCTAAAACCTGACTCTGAGAAAACTTGGAAACGTTGCTCCCTGCTCACCTTGTCAGCCTCCATAATGCTTTAATTCGTCCTTCAGGCTCTGATGACAACAACAACCTCTCCCATCTCCATGACTCTGTCTCCCCACTTAATTTGTCTCCTCTCCATGCTCTCCTCTCACTCTCATCCACTCCCCCTCATCTTTGTCATCCTCCCTGTTTTCTCTCTCCTCCTGTCTTTAAGTAAATTCTGCTTCAAAAGCTTGTCTCTGAAAGGTCGTCTGCTGCTTCTGCAGACCCCCTGTGGCCTTTCATCTTTCTTCTTTATGCTGCTCTTTTTTTCCCTGTATCTGTCATTTTTTTGTTGTTTTTATTCGATCTGCTCTGCCCCTAGCACTTACCATGGCAGAACCAACAGCACACACGCATATACTGAAAATGACACACACAAAACCTATTGTAGCTCAGCCAAGTGAATGGCTGGCTGGGAAAGTCAAGCGCTCTGTTATTCCATCCCGGCAAATGCAATCTCTGGAGATACAGTGCCAACCAGAGAGCCCCTAAGGGGCACTGAGGCTTTCTCAGAAATGCAGACAATCACACAAGCTTACTGCTATGTTGTCCCTCTCCCGTCCCTCCTTCTTCCATTACAGACATTTTTTTATATACCAGCTGAAAGCCCCAACACCAAAGAGGCTGCATGGTGTTGTGTGCACAAACAGCATGTTTGCACATATGTGTACTCTGACTGTTTGATCATGCTAACCAAGGATGAGGTACCAATATGGACGATGTGGAAGAATAAACAAGCACAATAACTCAATAACAATGCGAGGCCTCATTCAGTGAAATCATTGCATGATGAACGACTGCGGTTCCACTGTGTCAACTACACAAAAGACGCCTTGTTTCTGTGATCGCTTCAGCTGAACGGCCACTTTGTGGTGTCATTATGACCCGTATATTGTTTTGGATTGGTGAGGGAAAGTGGGTTTTTTTTTCTTGTCATGTGAATGTTTGTCTTTTTTAAGGTCAAATAAGGTCAACCCATTATAGAATCTCTTATCTTTAAAACTGGTCTTAAAATGCTGCTGCCTTTGTTTGTATTGGCAACATTCAGGAAGTCATACTGGTATATGTGGATTCTAAATATCACGTTTTAGTTTGCATCCAAATATCATGTCATGTTTGAACTTTGCTTACCTGTAATGCTTTAGTTTTATTGTACTGCAAACTTCAATGTTTAAAAAGAAATCTCATGAAAAGCCGCCCAGAGAGTGAGCTGGCTCGGGGGAGGTTTGAGCTCTTGGAGTGCTCCTTCTTTTGATCCGTTCTCATTTTCACCTCTTTTCAGTATTTAACCCGCTGCATTCTTTCCCCCTTTGGAGGGTGGAGTTAAACACAGCTGAAATGTTGATGGCCCTTCTTCTCGAGACTTGTGAGCTCTGAAGTAACCCATTAATCATGTTGCCATAGTGGGATGAGTGACTGGGTGCTTGTAAGACAGAGCGGGAGAGAGATAGAGGCTTGGCCTGAGAGCAACTCTGTCTTCCGGCTACAACCTTACATAATGAGAGCTAATGGGTTGGGGAACATAGACATACCTGTCCAGTCCACTAACATTAGGGTGAACAGAAAGCTGCAAGGCTGTTCTTTTCTGTCTCAAGTACTGTGTGTACAAGGAGTGCATTTAGAGCTCGTGGGGGTCTCTGCAGTTGTCACATGAACTCGAGAACTCTTTCATCAACAGCACCTCGTGCAGGAATGTGTTCAGTCAGGTTAACTGGGTAGACACTTCTTTAGCTTACCATTTATTAGTTGAGGGCAGTTAGCAACCAATAATTTCATGATGCATAGTAAAAATCTTGAAGTGTTTAGCCATTAATGTATTTTGTGCTGCTGGGTAACAAATTTAATAGTTTAATCTATACTTTTATCTACTTGGATGCCATTCTCTATGGGTGTCAGTTTTCTACTGCTTATCGACTACTTCCAGTAGTTTTCCGCTCAGACCATTTTGTTCAGGCCTGCTCAATTCTGTAATTAAATTGCAATGTAATTTTTTTTCCCATTGGTTGATCTCATCTTCCCACCTATCCCCTGGCTACTGCAGAAGTGGCCCTCAGGGTACTTATACGTCTGGTTTGAAATCGCTGATTAAATCGAATTGCCAATTTGTACTACAAACACTACAGCCTCCCTCCCCCCTGCACTGATGCACTATTGCTTCATTGTTTTTTATTAACCACGTGTTCCCACTGTCTCTGTGTTTTGTTTTGTTTTTCCCCCCCCCAGGCCGTGAGCCCTGTGCAGGGTGATGATGAGCAGTCAGGGCGGCAGCAGCAGGGGAAGTGGCCAGCATGCTGCCACTCCGCCCCCTCGTCACACCCCTGGACCCAAGCTGCAGGTCCAGCGTTCCCACTCTCGTGACACCATCACCATACACTTCTCTGCTCTGGGGAAAGAGGAAGACGATGAGGAAGAGGAGCTCTTTGGGATACCCGCTGGATCTGTTAAAGACAAGTCTGTCCTCGATGGTACAGGGGGGCTTCAAGGTCCAGCTTCAGCAGCTGATGACCGGTGCGTTGCTACAGGCTTGGAAGCAAAAGAGGAACTGCTGTTTGAATCTGCTGGTGCAGACACCCCCTCGGGACCTGCTGTTCTCCCAGTTTTATCTACCACCTTATCTGTGCAGCCCTCAGACCCTCAGCCACACACACACTCTCCTGCTTTGACTATTAATCCCACATCCACCCTCTCCTCCAATCCTCCTGCCAGCTCCTCCTGGCCGTCTGAACGGCTCCCGGTCAATCCCTCCCCCGCAAGCTCCAGCTCCTCTTCACCATGCAAGTCTGCAGCACTGTCATCCTCCAAGCCTTTTCTTAGTCTGGTTAGGTCTTTGTCCAATGACGTTGAGTCTCGAGAAACTGTCCCTTCACTTTCCACCGTAGCACCAACCCACGCACGTCATCGACACTTAATGAAGTCTTTTGTTAAGTCTCTGTCCACGGACGCTTCCAAGGCTGACCATTCGGAAGGGCCTCTTCAGCATCAGCAAATACAGCCATCCCATCGGCCTCCACCTCGCAACATGCAACTCTTCAAACAGTTCTCCCAACCCCGTTTATCCTCCAGTCCCGTCATTGTCACTCAAGCAGGTGGAGACTCTAAAACAGCCCCCTCCTCCCCCATCATGTCTCCAGATGGTAGGTCCTTCTTCAAAGTCCAAGAGGTGGAGGCCAAGATAGAGGATACCAAGCGGCGGCTATCGGAAGTGATGTCAGACCCTCTGCAGCTTTTTAGTAAGATAATGGGGGATGAGTCTGGTACGGGGTCTGCTGGAAGTGCTGCTTATCGTGCCAAATCGCTGTCCTCCAGCGCGTCGGAGCTCAGCGGAGTAACAGCGGTAAATGGACACGGAGAAGGTGGCAACAACTACAGCATTAAAGAGGAGGAAGGGGCAGAAGGAGAAGACGAGGAAGAAACCCCCACAGCTAAGGGCCCAGAGTCAGGTTTTTTCTCTTTCCCATCACTCGCGCCAGCCCTCACCCAGGCCTCATCTTCTGCCCTCCACAAATCTCCCTCTCTCACTCTGGGCCGCTGTTCGATGTCAGCCCTGGTAGCTCGACAGGAAGACGAGGACTTCTGTGAGCTGTACAGCGAAGACTTTGAGTTATGTACTGACACAGAGACACCAGACGGTGATCGTTCTGGGTCCCGGCAACCCCATACTGGTAGCACTGGTTTGTGTAGTGAGCTCGATCCAGAGGACGAGAGAGCCGAAGAGGAGGCTGAGACCTTACCCGTGACTGGTCTCATTATTTTAACACAGTTGGTGTATTGGTATTTGGTGCTTCCTGTGCCACCCTGTGTGTGCTCAGTAGTGCACGGGATAATAGCGGGGTTCGCGTTGGCGTTGCTTGTGCTTTGGCTGTCATCCCCTCAGCCCTCCTCATCAGTGAGCAGAAAAAGGAGGCGAAGGATAGAGCAATGGAATGTGGCCCAGCTGGATATTAAGGAACCAGGGATATTCAAGGTAAAGGCAAAACATGTGACTTCAAAAGTAAACTTGTGATTAGTTTTCCCAAGTGTGGTGCCTATGTTCAGTTTGTCCTTACTCTGAAGAAGACTATATGTTTCTACTCTGTTATTTCAGTTGAATTGCCTTTGTTAACACAGTGCCCTTTGGGAACAAAAAGGTAGGAGTTTGGATGAGAATTCAATCTGTGCAGCCTGTTGGGGAATCACGAGGTTGTGTTGCACTTCTTCTCCAGTGATAGCTCCAGTTTTTCTTTAAGCGAAACATTTTAATGACAGCACCACCGTTTGCTCCTTATTCTCGAGTAACCTCAGAAAATCAGAAGAGAAATCTTTAGTAATTTGACAGAGTTATGCAAGCATGTGTATGTGTGTGTGCCTTAGTGGGTACCAAGCGATTGCACAGGATAGCCTGATGGCTAGAGGCCACAGCTGTTCCAAAAAGAGGAGCTCTGCAGAACATGATACAGGCAGATGAACGACGGCCCCTCGGGCACACAAGTGTGGGGAAGCGGTCCAACAAGCTTTGTCTTTTTCTTCATACTTGTCTTTCTTTGGGAATACACAAAGTCTCAGATGCCCCACTTTATCTTTTGCTGTGTTGCATAAATTTTAAGCAAGAATGTCTTTTTAAATCAGTGGTATGTGATACATAGTGGAGATTCAATAAACTGCGTTTTTTGGCACTTTAATGATGGTTTCATTTTTTATCTCAGGAGGTTACTTAGTTAATTTGAGCAAATTAATTCTCTGGTTTTAAACTGAAAATCTGATGTGTGTATAAAAGACTGTGCAAAAGTCTTGAGAGGTGACTTGAGTTTTACTTCTTTGTAGCTGAAAAGTCTTCTGCTTCTCTCTCGCAGGGCTGGATGAATGAGATCCACAGCTATGACCCGGAGACGTACCACGCCACCCTGACCCACTCCGTTTACGTCCGTCTAGAGGGCTCAGTCCTGCGTCTGTCCAAGCCCAACCGGAACATCTCCCGTCGTGCCACACACAATGAGCCTAAACCTGACGTCACTTACATCAGCCAGAAGATCTACGACCTGACTGACAGCAAGGTGCGGTGGCTTAAACAAACCTTTTGGTCATGGAAAGAGAGATTTTTGCTAACACCACTCAAAGACGAGGGGGAAATTAATGTGTTAAGTGTGTGTGCGCGTCTCCTCAGTGTGTTACTGTGCTTGATGATAAGCTTAACATTTAGTGACATCGAGCACACGTCCCGTCACATTTGCCTTTGCCCGACTGCATGCTCGCTAATAGGTCATGCTCAGTGACAATCACAGCTTGTGACTCGTAGACTGTGTGTAAACGTAGAGTGAATATCACAGGTCACTGACCTTATATACACAGTTGTGTATCTTGTGTACTAGCGCGCTGATTCAACAGTTTTGCATATCTCAAGGCACAGCTGACATTTCTCATGTCAGTGTATCACAGAGCAAAAGGTTTCATCATGCACCCTTAACCTACTCTTCTTCTCTGGTTTCCTAAAGTGCCCTTTCTCAGTTATTATTGTAGATACTTAGTGTGTAGTTTATTCAGACACTCGTACAGGAAAAGCATCCCTGAAGGTCCAATTTCTGCTCATGGTGTTATTGTTTTAATCTGAGATCCAATACCGCTCCAACCCATTACAACCACAGGGATGAATGAAGTGCTGCTGTATGTATTAGAGAATTGTTGGCCTATAGCAAGAACAAAAGCAGAAGTACATGAACCTTTCCAGCCCTGAATGGTGCCAAATCTTGGTTACTTATCAACAGAAAACAGGCATATTCTTACATTTATTGCCACCAGTTGTTTCCACTCATACCCTCAGGTATCAATCTGCCGCATAAAAATGTGAACACTTTTTCTCTTTATCTTCTTTTCTTTATAATCATTCTGTAGCCCTAGAAACACCAATAAAGAAAGCACTCGTGTTCATGAGATTGATTTAGTGAAGTCAGTCTTTATACCCCACAGATATACCTGATGCCTCAGAGCCTGGCTAGGAAGAGAGTTTGGAACAAGAAATACCCCATTTGCATTGAGCTGGCCAAGCAGGATGACTTCATGTCCAAGGCCCAGGGAGAGAGGCCTGAAGCTGGGGAAGAAAAATCGACAGTTCAGAGTGAGAAGGTGGAGAAAACGGACAAGGGTGAGAAGGCAGAAGGATCGGCGTCAGCAGAGGAACCCAAAAAACCAACCTTTGGAGGCGGGGATTTGACTATCTACCTTTTCGGGAGGACGGGTCGGGAAAAGGAAGAGTGGTTCCGTAGATTTCTTCTAGCATCCCGAATGAAATCAGAGGGAAGAGGTGGCAGTCTGCCTAGCATCTGCAAGAATGGTGAGCTTCACACTCTCTCAAGGTGCAAACACACACACACGTAAAGCATTTGTTATCCATGTTCTTTCTTCCTTTCTTTTTTTTACACACCTGTATTTGCACAGACACGCGCCATTCCTCGATGTCAGAATAGCCGTTCTATTAAGTAGGCAACTGCGCAGCAATCAGATCTGTGCATAAGCCCCAGCTTAGGGACTGCCAATCCCCTCAACTAAGTGAACCGATGAGTGTGGTGGGTCAGGAGGATTACAAGCACAGAGCATCAGCGTATTATAGCATCACTTTCCACAGTGGGATGTAAGCCTGTGCGGAGGAGGCCTTATACAAAGAGAAATGCCAAAATTGTGTGGGTCAGGAGATAAAGGTAGTAAAGGTAGGGCTGGATTACTGGAAAGCAGTGTACAGCATGCTAATTCAGAGTGCTGCAGTCTACTGTGAGAAAGGAATACAAAAATAGCTGACAGCTATCTAAGGCTAATTAAATTTTGAGCATTTATTATTATTGTATACAAATCTGGAATCACTAAAAATGTTCCGTGTTCTAGCATAATTGTGTCAAAACACCCCCTTCACATCCCACATTTCCTTCCTTCCATTTGTAGCCTTCTTACCCTCCCACAGTCGCAGTAGCAGCTTTCAATCTGTCGGAGGCCTGGAGGCTGACAGCAGGAGCAGCAGCCGGGGAAGCCTGGAGGAGCTGTCTCAGTCTCAGTCTCGTCACAGAGAGACCACCGCCGCTCTCTCCTGTGGCTCTACTGCAGGCTTGAAGCAGAAGATGCTGTTGGACTATAATGTCTACATGGCCAAATACGTGAGTCCCCAGGTGCCGCCTAGAAGCCCGACTGCCACTGACAGCGCTGGGAACAGCCCGGATAGCAGCCCCCAGACTACCAAAAAGGTAGGAGACAGATGGATGCATGTCAGGCTGAATAGAAAAAGATTGTCATCCAAAGTGGGCATCTATCAAAAGCCCCCCCTGGGGTCTGCACGTCTAAACCACAATATCAACTAAATCAGTCTGTTGTCACCTGAAGTTACCCCAGAGAGCTCCGAACCACTGGCAACTCAGTGAATCTTACTGAAGGGTTGCTGGGAGCAAACTCAATATATCAAGCTCAAGCTTGATGCACAAAATGATTATAGATATTCAAAACTGCCATTCATACATGTATGTGTGTCCTTTAGCTGCGTAGGAGTTCAGAGGAGACTGCGGAGCCTGAGGCCTGGGTAAATGCATTTCTGGGAAGGATATTCTGGGACTTCCTGGGAGAGAAATATTGGGCCAATGTAGTCTCCAAAAAGATCCAAATGAAGCTCAGTAAGATCAGGGTGAGTAGTAGTAGCTACAGTTAGTAATATCCAAATGCAAGAAGATTTCTTCAAGAGATAGAGATTTGTCTTTGCGTTGGCTGTATTTGTATCTTTTTCCGTACATGTTTTCTTTTAGCTGCCATATGTTATGAATGAGCTGACTCTGACAGAGCTAGACATGGGCTTCTCCATTCCTAAGATCCTCCGTGCCTCCAAACCTTCAGTGGACCACCAAGGTAGGAAGAAAATTACATTAGGTGTGTTATTTTTTTTTTTTTACATTTTTGTGGGTGCTTTCAAGATTTCTTATTTTTATCTTACTCGAGCCACTTATTAATTCTGTGTTTTCCCCAACCCGTCTTCTTCACCTTTCATACCATATCTCCATCTTATTCCTCTTCTCGCTAGATTAAGCCATAACCCCCTACCCTCCAACACTCTGTCCTTCTCACCTCTGGAGTCTAGCCTTTCTGCATGTTTGCTCTATTAAGCCACAGTAATTAAACCTCATGTCTTGGCTCCCCCTCATCCATTACTGAAACACTGACTCACCCAGCCTGCTTTAAGCCTGAGCAAAGGGACTAGTTTGACACAGAAACAGAGCAGAGATGTGTATTAATTCCAGCTGGTTTAAGGCAAAAAAAGAGATTGTCAAAAGCTTCAGTCATTTGGGGTGGGGTTTTTTTTTTTTGTTTTTTTTTTTAATTTGTCATTTCTTAAAATATGATGATTATACACTTGCTAGCCATTTTGTTAGGTATTGTTCAACTGGTCGAATGCGTCATTAGCCAATGACATGGCAGCAACTTAGTACATTTAAGCATGCAGACATGGTCAAGATGACCTGCTGAAGCTAAGGCTATAATTGAAATGTCGAATGCTGAAGACTTCACTGGATTCAAATGGCCTCCACAGTCACCAGAGCTCAAGATCTCTGGAGCACCTTTGAAACCAAAATCTGTGAGAAATCTTTCCAGCACCTTTTCGAATCTGTCTCATGAAGAATTAAGACCCTTCTGAAGGCAAAAGGGGGTCCAACTAGTAAGGTGTACCTCATAAAGTTTCCAGTGAATGTAAATGTCATGAGGAGCCGCCGTGTTAAAATTTTTGTTTATCAATTCCAGATTAAGAGCATTCAGTTTTTCTTGATCTTAGGTCTAAAGATTCTTGTTGTTCAGTTGTTGGAGCAGGGTGTCTGCAGAGCTCACAAATGTGTCTGAACCTATACATCCTCAGATATATACTAACAAAGCATCATTAGCCGATGATGAAATGTGCGCTTTCATCCTGCATGAACTGAACACGCTTGTGATTTCTTCTCTTGTGTGATGATGGTAAAATTGAGGGAAAGGCAGCTTCTCAATGCCTTATTTATGGGGAGACATGGCTTGATTGACAATGTTTACACTGTGCTTCGATAACCGCACAATACACACAAACTGATGTTTGTCAGTTGTGCAAAGATGTGAAAATGAGCTAGAGGCTTATAAGAAACAAGTGGGTATAACATTCTTGACGTTAGTGTATGCACAGAACCATTTTAACCATCTTAGCATGCAGACATTTCATAATTAGCTCAGAGGAGAGTCGGGCTGAAGCGTCACTTTTGCAATTGCTTGGTCATGCACATGCTGCACAAATGGAAATTATTAATGTGGAGGCAAATTCACCACACTATATGTATGACAATGAGAGCGATTTAAAGGAATATCTAATGCACGATTGCTGTGATATGTTTCCCGGTTCTACATCTGTCTGTGGTAGAGATGTGTTGGCTCCTTCAAATTTAATGAGAAAATCCAGACGGTCTCTTCCTGCTGTTTGTCTCGTGCTAGACAATGAGACACTGTCTTCCATGATGTGTCTTGCTGCTGTCATGTAGCTTCTCTCTGGCACTGCTGTCACACAGACTGTACGAATCAATGAGCATTTACAGGGAGAGGGAAAGTGAAGAGAAGGGAGGGGGGCAGACAGAGGGGATAATAAACGTCAGTTACCGGCTGCAGACGTTCGCTGTGCAAACAGCAGGGGGATCGTAATCTGAATAATTCTCCTGCCGCCCGCTGAGGAGTGGGACGTGTAAACAGGAAGTAGCTTAATAAAGAACTGCTTCCTGATAGGTGACCTTTTTTTTTTTTAGGTAGATGAGCACTAGATTTAACCTTGCAACAATTAAACACAAATCATTAGGTTGTTATTGATTTTCCTTATGCTATTGACGAGGATGTCAGCAGGCATGGGTTCGGTATAAAAAACATCATAAGTCTTTATGTTTTCTTTCTCAGGTTTGTGGTTTGATCTGGAGGTCTCCTACACGGGCTCTTTCCTCATGACGCTGGAGACCAAGATGAACTTGGCCCGTTTGGGAAAGGATGGGCGAGGGCCTTGGAGAACAGGGAAAAGATTGGTGAGGCTTTAAAAGTGCATGTCATCTTTTAAGCAGAATAATGAAGCTAAGTGAAGCTCGGTCTGATTTTATTTTGTTTTTAAGAAGGCTTCCAGATTTTAGAGTCGTCCTCCACAGCTTGTCCTGATTCCTCCGTGTTTGTTTTTCTTCTTATTGTCTCATTCTCAGTGACAGTGCCAAAATAAAATGTGTGAAGGATTCGATTTTCTGCTAAAGAAAACCAGCTCTGAGTCGGATGGTAATCGGGTGCATTTGCATTTTTAGAGCCATATTAGTTGTCACATGCGTTTTTCACAGTTCCTCCCCTTTTGTTGTGTTGCCTTTTCCCTCCTTCTCTTTATATACTAATCCTTCCCGTGGATGCTTACCGCTGTGGACATGTGTACAGTAAACTGGCGAGTTTGGGAATTGGATGCCTACAGTCGCTGTCCCTGAAACAATACATTTTGTTGCCCATTTGGGTTATTGGATCTTTTTTTGAGTGAGATCGGTGGAGAAGTAGTTCCTGGGATACATTTAATGGGAATTAATAGTGATTGATAAGGGCTCTTTGCAAAGCCACTGGGGCCTGACTTTGCAACATGAGTGCTTGTTTATGTGTGCGTGACAGGTCAAGGCCACGGACATACTGTCTGGCAGACAGTGACGAGGAATCGTCTAGTGCCGGTTCATCGGACGAGGAGGATCCTCCAGAACTCCTCAGTGACAAACCTGTTCTGCCTGGAGCAGAGGGGTGAGCAAATGTCTCTTTCTAACAACATTAGTGCACCTCCGAATTGAAAATGAGCAGAATAACATTCGTACTGAGGTTCTGAAACAGAACATTTTTCCTTTTTCTATCCAACCAGCCACCCACTCAGACATACATATTTGAAAGCTCGCTGATGATTTAATGTAGCACCCGGTCACTTGCACACATAGCCCCTCGATAGTGGGTGCTGAGTAGCAAGAGATGCCGTTATGAATTAATTATGAACCTGACTCACTCCTTGTCTCCCCTCCTCCTCTGTTTCCATCATCGACTCGCGTAGTTATGTGGGAGGCCACAGACCCAGCAAGATCATGCGCTTTGTGGACAAGATAGCCAAGTCGAAGTACTTCCAGAAAGCCACAGAGACGGAGTTCATCAAGAAGAAGATGGAGGAAGTATCCAACACGCCCTTGTTGCTCACCGTAGAGGTGCAAGAGTGCCGCGGGACTCTGGCTGTCAACATCCCACCTCCCCCCACAGACAGGATATGGTATGTTTAGGAGGATGTGGAAAATTGCAGGATGGAGTTGGTATGTCACAATCTATGTGAATGGTTTGAGGTTATAGCACTGCACCCTCTGCTGGGCAAAAAAAACAACACAAGCAAGTGATGAGAGAATAAAAATGTTTAATCACATCTAAGAAATGAGGGCACAAAGGTGTGTTTTCCATTAAAGATGTGGAACATTGAAGCCTTAAATACACACTGATTTATGTTTGGCTTAATTAATACGAACTTCTTTATTTGCGCCACTAAATAGGTGCTAAGAAAAATATAATTAAAACAACATATAGAAAAATCAGTTTCTGTTGCATGCTATATATGTTTTGCATGTTTTCCTCCATGTTTTTGCCCTTTTCCTCCTTAAATACTGCTAATATGTATTTTTTTTTTTTTATTGAAAGGAAGCAGTCATTTAAGGAAAAACCCATCAATCGACATCTGTTTCATGAAGCTGGTCTGAAAATTCAACACGATTATCACAAACTTCTCTTTTTGGCTGTCAGGTATGGTTTTCGGAGTCCGCCTCACCTGGAGCTCAAAGCACGGCCCAAACTCGGTGAAAGGGAGGTGACGCTGGTGCATGTAACAGAGTGGATTGAGAAGAAACTGGATCAGGAGTTCCAGGTATACACTGGGAGAAATAAGCACCGGTGAAATCTAATCTTAAGTCATAATAAAGTCTACTTATTGTCCATTTGCAAGTTCAATTGTTAAAAACGAGGAATTGCATGGTTTTAAATTTACACTCGCTGGTCACTTCATTTACTATACCCGCTGAACTGTTCATTATTGCAGATATCTAATCAGCCAATCACATGGCAAAACGCAAATACATTAAGACATGTAGGCATGGTTAAGACAACTTGATGAAGTTCAAACTGAGCATCAGAATGGGGAAGGAAGGTGACGTAAGTGACTTTGAATGTGGTATAGTAGTTGATGCCAGACGGGCTGGTCTGAATATTTCAGAAACTGCTGATCTACTGGGATTTCCCCACACAGCCGTCTCTATGGTTTACAGAGAATGGTCAGAAAAGAAAGAAAAATATTCAGTGAGCAGCAGTTGTGTGGGTGAAAATGCCTTGCCAATGTAAAAGGTCAGAAGAGAATGGCTAGACTGTTTTAAGGGCAAGAGTACCTCAAATAAGCACTCATTGCACCCAAGATATGCAGAAAGGCATCTCTACATACAGATGGACTACAGCAGCAGAAGACCACCCTGGGTGCCAGTGTGGTCAGATAAGAACAGCAAACTGAGGCTACAATTTGAAAGATTTGACAACAGAAGATTGGAAAAATGTTACCTGGTCTGACGATTCTTGATATCTGTTGCAATGATCATTAGAATCAGAATTTGACATGGATCTGTCTTGTGTTGTATTAATGATTCAGGTTTGCGGACTTTGGGCTAGTTCTGGTTCTAGTTGCTGACCACATCCACCCCTTTGTTACCACAGTGGACCCATCTTCTGATGGCTGTTTCCACCATGTTAACGCACCATGCCACAAAGCTCAAATCATCTTAAAACTGTGTTCTTGAACACACAGTGACCATGTTCAAATGGCCTCCAGAGTCACCAGATCTCAGTTTAATAGGGAACCTTTTGGAAATGTTGGAATGGGAGATTCTCATCATTGATGTGCAGCCGATAAATCTGAAGCAACTGTGTGATGCTGTGATGTCAATATGGACCAAAGTCTCTGAGGAATGTTTCCAGCACCTTATTGATTCTGTGCCATGAATTAAGTTAGCTCTGAAGGTAAAAACCGGGTCCAACTTAGTACTAGCACGGTGTAATGAAGTGGCTGGTGAGTGTTCAGTTTGAATTTGACACTCTGTTTGGAACTGAACAATGGATTTTAAGTATTTAGCACATCCGAATACACCTTAAATCAGTGGTGTCCAAACCCAGGCCTCGAGGCTCGGTTTCCTGCAGGTTTTAGATGTGTCCTTGATCCATCACAGCTGATTTGAATGGATAAATGACCTCCTCAACATGTCTTGAGGTTCTCCAGAGGCCTGGTAATGAACTAATCATTTGATTCAAGTGTGTTGACCCAGGGTGAGATCTAAAACTTGCAGGACACCGGCCCTCGAGGCCTGGAGTTGGCCTTAAACCAATGTTCTTTATGTAAAATACCTTTGGCCTATTTAGAATTACCACCCATGTGTGCATAGGAGGAACATGTAGATCCAAACAGAAAGTTTTAACCAGTAGGTTTAAATCCAATATGTTGTTAATACATTGTGCTATTTTCAATTGAATATAGTTAAAAAATAACCTCCAAATCACTGAAATCTGTTTTTACGTTTAACACAGCACCCTAACCTTTTTTGTAAACATGGGTGCATTTAGTGCATGATGTCATATCCTGTGGTATTTATCAACTGATGTTTGAAAGTCTACTCTT